TTCTGTGTCCCACTCCCAGCCTTCCTTTCTCTTGGAGAACAGAGCCGTGTACACCCTTTGACCTGCCTTGAGCTCCCTGAGCTAGTTTGCTGTCCTTTGGTGCAGTAGAAGGCACTGTCCTGTCCCCAGTACTGAAGTAAGACTTAACAGCCAGTGCAGTTGGCTTCTGCACATGGGATGCAGGGAAAAGCAGCTCCTAGTCCTTTGCCTCCGGCACCAAACAGTCATGGGCTTGCCTGTCTCTTCCAGCAGTACAGGCAGTTCAACGGTCACTAAAAACCATGAAGCCAAATGTATAAAGCTGCCCAAACAGAAAAAAAAATCACATAAAGTGGGCTCAGGAGGTGCACTTCTGGAAATAGCTACTCTGCTTTTAATAAAAAATATGATGCACCGCACCATCGTGGGAAGGACTGAGCCCAGGTGACCCTTGTAGCTGCTGCTGTGTTTGTGGTTCAGGTGTGATCCATTGACGGGCAACTTCTAGGATCCTGGTGCATCCCATTTTTAGGCTCCATTGTCTTTAAACTGGTCTTGCACAGGACAGCCCTTCAAATGGCTTGCCCAGTGCCCATTCCTGGCATTATAAAAAAAAAACTAGCTTGCATAATAGCACTTACTTATTCAGCAGAAAGACCCAGGAATGTATGGATTTTGTAAATTCAATTCCATTCTGTCTGCATTCTGCAGATTCTCAGAGAACGTTTGCTTCATCATCTGCCCATTGAGAGATTTTGCGCAAATGCATTCGTACACATTTGTGTAAAATTGCGCTTGTTCAGAACTGCACTCCTAAAACGTGAAAATTCCCTCAAATACACAAATCCCTCCCAAAATGTGCACTTTCAGACTTTATTCTAGTGAGGGAAATGCACATGTTCTGTTGTTGTTACTGTTGTTGTTTTTCATTTTTCTATAATTAAATCTTTGTAAAATTACCAAATGTTAAAAATAACATCAAGAAGAAAATCTGGCCCGCAGATCTGCAGGATCCATGCAACTTGGTAAATGTTAGTCTGCTGTGGACTCCACAGGTTACATTCATAAACATTTGAACTCATTTGCATCAGTCACAGATTTCACCAACATTGCTTGCGTGTGTGTGTGAGTACAGACATATGCATACATGCAATATTTGCTTTTTGGACTATATACATCACAGGCTCATGCAAGAAAACTATGTTGTTCCCAGGGAAACCTGGGGCTGTGATTCTACGAATGGTGCAGGGCATCCATCACAGGGAATTTTCAACAGATTCATCTTACTGCAGTTCCTTGAATATGGGCATCCTATCCATTTTAGCCATTGCACTTAAAGGAGGTATACCTATAAAACCTATATATATTTGCATGCAGAGATAAAATTTGTGCAAAATTAGTAAGAGCCATGCTGGAAACTTCAAGGAGGGCCAACATACATTTAATGCATACCATATATTATACCTTTTAACAGTTCTAATATATTGAAGCAATTCTAATTGGATTACAAATTCCCAGCAGCTTGGCATGGTGGACAAATAAGCACTGGCCAATCCAAAGATGATGTTGCAAGAGCCAAAGAGTTCAATCCTAAACAGGTTTAGACAGAAAAAAAATCCTATGACTCTAGGGGCTGTAGAACTTTCTCTCTCTAAACATACATAGGATTGCAGTTCAACTGTCTTTGTCTTCAAGATGCAGTTCTTAAAACGATGAATTGCATCAACAGGGTTTGAATAATAATTAACAAGATCAAAGCAGGAGAGATTAAACCTCTTCCTCTTTGCAGTGGTCCAGAGGAAAAGCTTTCCTGTAAAGCTAGTCTTTGCAGTAGCAGAAAATCCCGCATTGGCATCGATTCCTCCCAATGCAAATAACAACTTTTGAAGAGGGATTGTCCTTAAAACCACAGTAGAAGAAGAAAGGACTAAATTCTTCCTTCACACATCCTGCGATCCCTTTAATGTGTTGGTCCTCCCCGCACTGAAACAATTAGTATTTTAAAAAATTGCGCCTTATATCCGAAGAGATTTTGTCTTCCAGCTTGTGGCTGGGCAGTGATGCTGATGAAGCCCAAACGTACCTGTGTCTTGCTATAAAACCAGGATCTCCATTGGCCATTTACTCACCACTCAGTTTCTGGTTTGTCCCCTACATTTACTTGGTTCAGGTTTCATCCAACCAGCTTGGGAGACACACAACAACGCCACTACCATCCATCTGTTCCATGGCCAGTTTCCAGATGGGCAAAACAAGAGAATCACTCTTTTTCAAAGGGCCAGATAAAAATCAGCATGAGTTTTGGGTTAATCATGTTCCCACTCAATCAGCCTGTTGGGTATTACAAAAAATTCCCAAAGGTTTGTCTAAACTTGCTTGCTAAGGTCCCAAATCCTTGGTGATATATAGATTTGGCGAGACATGAACGACTATCAATCATTTTCCTGGCATGTCTGCAGATGCTCCATGGCCAAAAGCCAAACTCCACTTGAGACATGTTTTCCAAACCTGGAGACACAATGCCGTGCTTTGGAGACTCTGGCAGCCACTTTTCTGTCAATGCCTGCTGTGAAGTTGCTAGTGCTAGTTCGGAATCTTAAGGTGTGGCCTAACAAAAGAGCCTGGATATAGATTTTGATTCCCAGGGCACAAAGTACCAACTTTCCTTTCCCTTGGGTGGAACTGGAACTATCCATAGGTTGATGAGTCAAAAAGCCGCAGATAGTAAGATCCTTTGCTCTGTCAGCATACCTGACTAATATGCCATTGACTAATACCAAAACTCCCTATTTTTTGGTTTCCCACTCCATCAAAAGTAAACTATGTTCTTAAAAAAAAAAAAACCCTGAAGGGCATATTCTGTCATAAGAAGAAAGCATTTAAACTTTTCAAAGACAAGCAAATACTAAAATCAGTGTTGGAGCTTAACATTTTAAAGGTAGATACTGGAACTTAAACACACCTAGGCATCCAGCCTTCGGAATCCAGTTTTTTGGATCAACTGTGATCCTTCAGACAAGAAGGAAGAATACTTTGCACATGCTTAGTCTGTTACTGCATGCTCAAAGGCATGTGTGCAGACAGGTAATTTATTTCAAAGGGATTTACTCACAGGCAGATGTGCCTAGGATGACAGTCTTTTACTCTTTCACATGCTCAATGCCATATTTACCCCAGCTTTTCCCAAATCTGGTGACATCATGACCGGTAGGACTGCAATTCCCATCACCCCCAGCCAATGGCCATGCAGGCTAGGGATGATGACGATTACAGTCCAATATCTCTGGAAGGCACCTGACTGGGGAAAGCGGAATGTGATCTCCAAGGGCTTTCTCATTCCACTTAATTCAAGGGAAAGTTGGGAGCATTAGGTACCAAGAGAAGCACAGGCAAGTTTGCTCCCTTGGTTGGGGGGCTGGGAAGGTCCCCCCACACATGAGCTCCTGAGCTCATTCACTGCAGACCTGGACCAAAGAGTGCATGTCAGTTTACTCTTGTGTGCAAACTAGTCAACATCACCCACATCAACACAACCACCCAGCAGCTCCTGTGAGCTTTTGCCGCCCCAGGCTTGGATGTCGGAGCAGAGGTCTTAGGGGGGCTTTCCTAATAAAATTTAGTGAATATTTCATGCTCCTGTGCATGGTGGACATCCCTCCAAGCTTGGCATCATGAGTCTGTACGGGCTCTGAAGGATGCCCCTTCATGCAAACATATGCATGCTTTTCATCTGTATATCCCAGCATCTCTGATTCAAGGGGAAACTCTCCTGGGTGATACATTTATGCGTGGCGGGTGGAAGGTAAGTGTGCTTAACAAACTCCCAGATTATATTTGGAGAACCTGTGAGTGGAGCTGGAGCTAGGCAAGGTCAAGGCATTGCCAGAAGACAGAAGAAGGACTCTAAAACAGACCCCCTCCAGAATGTGGTGCCCCCCAGATGTGTTGGACTGCCACTCCCATCCTTCCCATTCAGCATGGGCATCGCTTGATCTATGGATCTTTAGTATCCTTTCATGTCAATCCACAGATTCCCATAGGAAGCTGCAAGCTCACAGATACTCAGCAACAGATGTGTCTAAGTGCAGATGTCTCTAAGCAGCCAAGCACTAACCTATTTGGACACATGTTTGGTGCTTGGTTGGAGGGGGAGCTGGGACAGGGGATGATGGACTGATTGGTTAAGTTTAGAAGGGGAACGTTTGAGGAATGTTGTTGCAACAGTGTCACACCGCTGCAATTTTCCCCATTCCCACTGCTGTCTCTTTTCTGATTCTGGATTTTCAGGCACCTTGGTCAGAAAGTTGAATTATATGTCATAGCCTGAAGAAAAAAAAACGTGGTACTGATTGAGGGTATAACTGACAGGGAGCTTTTCTCACAAGAGCCCAGCTGTAATAAGAGGATGCAAAGTAAATGCTGGACTTCTCGTCTCCAGGGCTTGTAAAGGAGATGTTGTGTGGATTTTGGTAATGAAACCATTGAAAAATGGGACACGTGTGGGGTGAGGGTGGGGAAAGAACAAAATACACGAGCCATGGAAAAAGTGCGGATAAGTGAAGGGGGATTTCTGCTAGAAAGAACCTTTTTGTGAATGTGGCTAAACATGGTGTTCCAATTACTGCAGAAAAGAGATGTGCTTTTTTGTGTGGGTGCCTTTTCCTTTGGGTGAAACATTCAGAAAATCAGAGGAAGATGGCATCCCCATGACAAGTCTGCACTGTTAGGAAAACAAGTCAGTCTACCCGGAAAGAGACGTCTGCCCACCTGTTGTTTAAAAAATACACTCAAAACACGGCCCATCTTGAGACGAGCCGCTACATTTCCAGGCAATTGCATTATTTAACTTAGCCTCACCCAGGAGGGTGTGTTTTGGCAGGGTGTGCTTTCTGGTGGTGGAACAGAAAACGCCCTCTGAGGAGTATAAATGGGACCAGGCAATGTTGCAAAGAGCAGCTTTTTCCTACTGAACCAAGCCGAGGAACGTTCTTGCACCCGAACTTGCTTTCATTGCCCCAACCATGTCTACAGTTTACTACCGCAGCTCCTCTTCCACTCATGGTGGCAGTTTGGGTGTTGGGGGCGGCGGCTCCAGCCGCATGTCCAGCGCCCACCTTGGATCATCCAGCATCCATGGGGGAGGTGGTGGCCGCATGTCTGCTTCTTCTGCTAGGTTCGTATCTTCTGGAGTAGGACTTGGAGGTGGCTATGGATGCGGGATTGGCTTAGGAGGAGGCTATGGAGGTGCCTTAGTTTCTAGTGGAGGAGTTGGCTTTGGTAGCTGCTACGGCGGTGGTGCTGGTGCAGGCTTCGGCGGTGGTGCTGGTGGAGGCTTCGGCGGTGGTGCTGGTGGAGGCTATGGTGGTGGCTATGGAGGAGGCTTTGGTGGTGGATTCGACTTCATGGGAGGCGGCGGTGATGGAGGCCTCCTTACTGGAAATGAGAAGATTACCATGCAAAATCTCAATGACCGCCTGGCTAACTACCTGGACAAGGTGCGAGCCCTTGAAGAGGCAAACACCGAACTGGAGATCAAGATCCGTGACTGGCATAACAAGCAGGCTCCCACCACCCAAACCAGGGACCTCAGCCATTATTTCAAGACCATTGCGGATCTTAAAGACAAGGTAGGTTCACTCAGAAGTGGTTGTGTCAATGATGGAAGGTCCTTTTCTGCAACTACCGTCTCTGCCTGCCAATATTATTGCTTGAAGTGCCAAATGTAACAGACATAGGGCATATTTATTTAGCATTTTAGATGCTTTTACTCCATATTTCTATAGGCCTAATTAGAGGTGGCCTAAGTGCACATAGGAAGCAAAATCAGTACAACTGATTCGCTTCTTTTTTTCACGTGGATCTAAGAAATAGCATATGGAATAGCAATATGTGCGTAAATGCATTAAGGGGGCAAACCTATGCATAGAGCGAAAAAGGTCCTATAGCTCCCAGCATCCCCAGCCTGGCTGGGGAATGCTGGGAGAATTTGGCCTTTTTTCTGCCTAACATGCCTAACTCCAAATGAAATTCAGACTGAGACAATTCAGCTTGTGTGCCCTAGAAAGGCAAGCAAAGGGAATCAGTGAGTCATCATTCACTATGGTGCTTAATTAATTGCAGCAGAGCTATAAAGGGACTGGGATGCTACAAGCCAAACTTGATGAGATGCTCTTTGTGTAACTAGCAATTGTGTGGAAAGCTGGTAGGTAGGTGGAGGGGTCATCCAGTGGGTTGTGAAGGTTTAAGTGCTGGAAGGGGCATCTGGATGAGGCTCACTGGCTGACTTTGGGCCAGTCATGGACTCTCAGCCTGACTTAGCTCAAAGGACTGGTGTTGGGGTAAACACGGAGCAGAGAAGCACTATGTGTGTAGCCTGGGGTTCCTCACAAGAGGAAAAAAGGAGGAGTTTGGTTGCAATATAACAGTAATAATAAAGTGCACCTCTGAGATCCTGAATGAGATCCTTGGCCCAAGCCCACCATTCCTGTAGAATGAAAAGTGGGTAAGGCACTTCTGAAATAAAGCGTTACTTTCTGAAAGTCAAATTCAGACAACTGCTAGTTGTATGCCCCCTCTAATTTGGACCTAACTTCCCCTGCTTAATTTCTACGTACTGTTAAAAAAACAAGTGGACCCCGTAAAGGTGCTGGCAAACCTATTCAGGGAGCCTATAGTTGTAATCTGAGATTTATCATTATTCTAGTCCATATTCTCCCTCCTTCTGTGTGTGTCTGTCTGTCCAGCCTTGGGCTAAGCCCTTGATCCAGAAGTATTTGTCTTTAATTCTAGTCTGAATGATGGGGCTGGAGGCTGGTTGTGGTTCATCAATAATGAAGGAAAGGCACTCTGTATAAGCTCAGAGGAAAGCATAGTTACTTCATACTATGCAAGTCATTAGGAACTGATCTGCTCATACATGCAAGCTGAATTCACCCTAAATTGCATAATATTACCATAAGCTGTTCTTCAGGCTTTTCTTAAAGCAAAGCTCCACTAACATTAGGATACTTGACTGCAAAAGTGAAATAGGCCATCCTGCTTTTTATCAGCCACACAGGGCTTTGCTATGCAAAATGATTCCCAATCCCCTTCTCATTCATTCTTACAATGTTAACGTGATAGAGATTATTTTATTTCCCATTAGAGAGTGAGGTATTGATATACTGAGTGCAATGAACTGAACAAGAACAAAAGGAGATAAACCTAAATCCTATGAAGACAATGGAACCAGGGTGCACTGTAAATGCATATTCCCAGTGGATTTCAATGGGAATGCCAGGCTTTTGTGGGAAAGGCCACTCATGGAACTGGTCTGGAAGTAACACCAAAAGGGTTTCCACATATTTGGATCAGGGAGGTCATGGAATTTTGAGAGTGAGTCACAGCTGCTCTCATGAAATGGCTGCCATGGTGGGAGTACCCCTTCACAAAATGGCTGCCTGGCTGGGTGCGGCCAGTCACAAAACACCCAATTCTCAGAAAATAAACTGGTGAAACTAGAAAAAGAACTTTTCAAGAGTATATGGACATAGTTGAGTCTGAGCTGCAACACACAAAACCACTTTTTGAACTCCAGTGAAGATGATGGTGGAGGGCAGCCCTTCCCTCTCAGTGTGCCAGCCTCAACGTTAAACAAAATATTTTAAAGACACACTTAAAGGAAATTAAAATGGGGGGGGGCAGGTCTCTACAGAGGTGCTCACAGGCAGATTGGACCCACAAGAAACACACTGTAGACTCCAAGACTAAACAATGGGTTAGTATTATGGGAATGAAGCTTAGGTAGACCTGAGGATCTCATGCTGGCCCTCCTGCTGGCACAGTTGCAAGCTAGAGTGGATGTGTATGCTTTTAGTTTAGAGTAAACTATGCTGGCAAACTATGATTAAATGTAACCAGGCCCAGCTGAAACAAGCCAACTTCAAACCATAGTTTGAATGTTGGTGTGTATCAACAAAACATAGTTAAGATCAACCACAGTTTATTAAGTGCAGATAGAATCTTAATCCAAGAAATAAACAAAAGCTGCTAATCTCTTCTTTGCTGGCATACCAGTGTAAGAGAAGAAAGGGGAAGTACATGGGCTATAAGATTGCTCTCTGCTGATTCCATACTGACTGGAGCAGAGAGTGCAAAGCCATGTCTTCCAGGTCCAAGTCCAACAATCAGTCCACTGAATCACAGCCTTAACTAAATTTTTTAGCATAAAAGCTGTGCCAGGGTACATTCCAAACAAGATTTAAAAAATATTTTTAAAGGCTTTGCAGTTGAGATGCAACTTTTAAAAACTGTACTTGCATTCATTCAGCTGTAGTGGCATATAAAGGGGATAGCATTTATCCCCTTGCCTGAACCAGGAATTCTAGTCAATATACATGGTTCAATACACAATTGAGAATGCAATTGTGCATCTCGTGAATGAGGCTGGCTGGAGCTGGGGGTCAGACTAGATGGCCTGGGAGACCCCTTCTGATTTGCTCTGTTTCTATGTTTCTATGTCAAGAAGTCAGCTGGTCAACTTTTCTGGCATTGATTAAATCCAGCAAACTAATGCTAATGTGACCAAATGTTCTATAGCAGAGTTCACTATTTTATTTTATCTTGTTCCATGGGATCCTAAAACTTGCGCCTGGGCATGAAAAGCATTAGCTTGGTCAATTCCTCCTCTGAAAAATTCCTGGATAAAACATTGTAAAATTTAATTTTAGATCCATCAGTCTAGAAGATCTACTACCCTCTTGCTGTGTATTCCGAATTACTACTGTAAATTATCATGACCCTAGAGATCTGTCCTAAATTAAGAATTATTATTATTTCTCTGCCTTCCATTAATGCATTGAATACATCTTCAGTTAACTAAAGGTTTTGCCAATGCTTACAGATATTCTTTTCTTCTCTTCCCTTTTGGTAGATTCATAATTGTACAGTTGACAATTCCAGGATTATTTTGGAGATTGACAATGCTAGACTGGCTGCTGATGACTTCAGACTGAAGTAAGTTTCTCATCGTTTTTGTTTTCCATTTCTGGAAATAATGAAGGGAACTGATGGGAGGGAAGAGGACAGAAAGGATGAACTTGATCAGTTCTGTGGAGGCGATGTTTAAGGCATCAGCTAAAGAAGTATGTTCGAGAGGGTTGGGGAGGCAGCCGGTTCTATGAAGGCAAGTCTCCAGGAATATGGATGGCAGAATTTGCAAAACCTACCAGGTATTTTCACCAGCACCAGAACCCGTTCCACCCTCCTGACTCCTTTCTCTCAAACCGGCAGATATGAGAATGAGCTACATCTCCGCCAGGGAGTTGAGGCTGACATCAATGGCTTACGCAGAGTCCTGGATGAACTTACCCTGTCCAAATCTGACTTGGAGATGCAGATTGAAGGTCTGAAGGAGGATCTGGCCTACCTCAACAAGAATCATGAGGAGGTGAGTGGAGGAAAAAGGAGGGGAGAAAACCCCAGAGCCTTCGGGATGCAAAGTGTGTACTTTCCTTATGGGCTCTTATGGAATAGACACATGGTCAAGATAAGACAACTACATAGGCACACATTCAGTGGTCTACAAAGTCACCAATGGCAACTCCAACCTTAATTCTGGCAGCTAGCAGGAAAAGAATTCTGCTATGTTTCAGTACAGGAGAATAGGATATTTTTAAAGCTATTGGTAAAACTGCTGAGGGCTTTCAAAATGGCGCTAGGCTGTCACTTGTGGCGATATGCAGCTATTAGTATAAAGAGCCACAAGAAGCAGTCGCTGTGGATTCAGCCTCTGTCATACACACCTGCAGCCACTCTTTTCCTAGAAAACCCCTTCACTGGGCATTGGAATGCCACCCCTTTAGCTTTGTGGAGCAAGATGGGAGAAAGCCAGGCCTTCCTGGGTCTCAGAACTAATAGCTGGCTTCCAACCCCCAGGCCAAATTTATAGGCCCTACTGCCCCCCCCCTTTATAATAATCTTTGCCTTTGTTCATGTGAAGGCAGTTGCCTATACTACATAGCGAGGCTTTCACGAGCACGACTGCATACAGATTGCTGAAAAAATGCACTCCATTACGATTGAGAAAATCCTTATTGTGTTGTCTCAATTCTTGTCCCACCAAGTTAATGAAAGAGTTCAGCACCCAACTGACTGGAAACGTCAGTGTTGAGATGGATGCCGCACCTGGAATTGACCTCACCAAAGTTTTGGCTGACATGAGAGAACAATACGAACAACTGGCTGAAAAGAATCGCAGAGACGCAGAAGCTTGGTTCTTCACTAAGGTAAGCTCTTCTTTCCTAATGATTAGGTTTATTCCTCAGGGGATCATCTATTGATTTAAACAGGATTCATAACACTTTAATTGCCATGAGTCTCTCCAAAGAATCCTGGGGATTGTAGTTTAGTGACACATCAGAATAACATGTTAAAAATTCCTCCTTTCTTCTCCTCATAGAAGTCCAAGTTTTCCTGGAAAGGAGAGATCACTGGGAAAATTGCAATCCAAAACTTACTCCCCTGGGGTTAAATAGACAAGTATGGGATTGCCAGTCTATAGTGTAGAACCTCCCCAAGGTCCATATGAAATCCAATAAGTATTTCTGCCATGACTTTTCTTTTCAAACTAAACTTCATAGACACTTCCCAGTCATATTTTCTTTGCTTTTTAATTCTCCTACCTCCAGACTGAAGAACTGAACCGCGAAGTTGCCACCCACACTGAACAGCTACAGAGCGGCAAGAGCGAAATATCTGAACTGAGGCGCAACATACAGAGCTTGGAGATTGAGCTGCAGTCACAACTTAGTATGGTGAGTTTCTAGATCCTTGTATGAAACATGTGCGTATAAGGACAAGAATTCTCCATCCAGGGCAGAGTCAGTCCAGCGGCACCACTAGTGAAAAACATGTCTGCCACACACAGCCACCCAAATATCACAAGGACGAAACAGGAAAGGGGGAAGTGGTCAGACTGCCTTCCCATTACATGGACTGAGATGCCTGCAGCAAGCAGTGCAGCAGGAACCTGGCGAATTGTGCCCCCTTCTTGCAACTCCTGCCAGGAGGCGTGACTGCTGCCTCCCCGCCACCAGCAATGGCATACGTAAGAGCCCTGCCAGCCACCCCCCTGCTGTAGCATGGGCCCAGGGCTTCTGCCTGCAAGACGGGTGTTGGCTGGCTGGCTGGTTGCTCTGTCACTTGCTTGGTCAGCCAGCCCAGGTGGCCCCTTGCCCACCCGCTTGCTTGATCCCACCTTGTGCCCCAGCCAGGAGGCTCCCTGCAAGAGCCCTGAAACTGGAGCAGAGGGCAAGAGCAAGTGGGTGGCTGGGCAGGACCAAGCAGCCAGCTGGGCCAGCTGGCCAAGCAAGCTCAGGAGCGGCTGGCCTGTTGGCTGCATAGGTAAGCCACCTGGTCAAGCAAGTAAGACAGTTGGTGGGCGAGTAGGGCTAGCAGGAAAATATCTGGGGCTGGGGCAGGGGAACATCCTCCCATTGTTGATTGCTAATATCGGCAATCACATTCTCATAAGGACAACACATGAGATGCTGTTAAAAACACAACTGATTCTTGGTCTCCCAATTGCGATTAAGCTCCATCATGCAAAGTAAGTGTCACCATGAAGGTTCCTAGATCCTCTGATTTTTCTTCCCCACTAGAAAGCTGGCTTGGAAACCAGCCTGGCAGAGACGGAAGGACGCTATTGCGCTCAGTTGGCTCAGATCCAGAACTTGATCTCTGGTGTGGAAGAACAGCTTGCGGAGCTGAGGGGTGACATGGAACGCCAGAATCAGGAATACAAGATGCTCATGGACATCAAGACACGGTTGGAGCAGGAGATTGCCACCTACCGCAACCTGTTGGAGGGTCAGGACTCTAAGTAAGTGGACTGGGCAGTAAAAATGTGCTTGACGGGGCAAGAGAGACTTGAAGGCCTCATCCTACCTTGTGCCTTTTAGGTGTGCATCTAAGATTTAGCTAAGGGTGGACCTTTATGTGTAAGGTGTGGCTATGAGAAGTGGCTACTTGTAGAGAGCACTTGTAGAGAGCCAGAACTCTTGGCTGTTTCTGAGTGTCCAGTCAGGGACAAACCCATGATGAAATGAATTACTGATTATTGGCATGCCCCGTAAGACTCCTCACTTGAAGATCTGGGTCAATATTCTTAATTTTTAGAATGGTTAGGTAAATTTATATTCATGAGGAATAGCAAGAAAGTGAAAAGTAGCATGCCCATTGTTCAAATGACAAAGATAGGAGGACCTTTGTCAATGGAAAGCAACATCAGAAGTATCTTTTACCCAACTACAGTGTGAAGTCAGATCAATCAACAGAGCTAGGCTTCTGCTAGACTCCTGACAGATAGCTGAAGAGTGGCCCATGGTTTTTGGGAAAACTGGAAGCAATGTCACAGACTCACTGAATCCAACCTGGATTTGCTTAACTGCAAGGAATCTGCATGTGGTGCTCTTGCAAAAACTCAATAGCCAAGTCTGAGGGGGTCTCTAAAAGCAGGATCCTCATCAAAACAAATTCCGAAAGCAGAACCATGTGGCGATTTGCTAAAACGTAGCATTATGCTTGCCTACTCAGGTCATGTATGAAGTGGGAATTGGTAGGTTGGATCGGGAGCCTATGGCAATATGGACAACTGTTTATGGATCCGGTGAGGGCAGCACGTTGGGCAATGGAGGAATGACACTCCGAGGCTGCAGCCTTGCATCAGTTCTGGGATAAGCCCCACTGAATGTCCTCCCATGTTTGTGAGGCACGGGCAAACATTCAGTGAACTAGAATAGTTCGGTTAACTATTTATATAACCAGAAAGTATCAAGCAAATAGAGCTGTAGTAATTAGTCTTCACCGTATAGCATGTGATCAAGTGCTTTATTAATTGTCCTCCCCTTTTTTCCCGTTGCAGGCTGTTGGCATGGTCTTCAAAAGACGGTAAGAACAGCTTCCATTGTACTATAACCTATAGGTTGAAACTAGGATCAGGACCCAAGTCAAGCCATACTTAGAGTAAACTCATTGGAATCAATGGGGATATAAAAGAACATCAGTCATAAAGGGACATATAGGCACTTGACTAAATCTGGAACCAGCCCATGATCTTAATGGTAAAAGCATGGCTTCCAAAGTTGGCCTTTGTGTCAGGAAGATTCATTATGCTGCATGCCTTGAGGAAGAGTGATGGTTCAGAAGTCAAAGATATTCTTTGCATGGAGAATGCCACAGGTTCAAAATCTCTTGTGCTTCTAGTTAAAGGATCTGGAATGTTAGGGCTGTCAAAGGAATCTGGCTGAGAGAGTAGCGTTCTGGGTTTAGGACCTATGTGGCCAACACTGGCATTGGCCAAACAACACATTACATTAAATACGCACCGTGTTGCTGAGGGCATGTCTTCCTTTTAAATTCAGATGGGAAATGTTGGACATTTTAAGAAGTGCGCATTTTAAAAAGTGCGTATGTTTTAAAGTGTACATTTTGTGAGTGTGAGTTCAGAAATTTATGAACATTGTCAGAGAGCATTGGCTCCTGTATACATTCTGGATTGTGCATGGAGCATTTCTGCATGATTTCAGAATGAAAACAGAAATCTCAGAAATCCCTAGGTGGGAACCGTGATGCAGGAAGTTAGCCTCCCCCTTGGTGCTGCAGTTCTGACAAAATCTGCCACCTTCTCACGTTGCAATTGGCCATGGGAAGGAAGGAAACTGATGTGTGACCTTCCCTAAGCTGTAAGCTTATTTCTAAACAAGGCTGCATGGAGTCCTTGCAAACAAACACACACACACGCACCTCTTCTTGAACCGTCATTAGATTAGGAGATGCCAGCTGTGCATCAGTAATTCCTAAGCATATATAAACCCCAGGAGTTGTTGCTGTGAGCTTTCCTTGGCATGCGTGAGATGCAGGGGCCTGCTGGCATTTTGTATTAGCATATCCTCCCTTTCATTGTCACAGCATCCCATGGTGGGGGCAGCACCTCCATCACCTACAGCTCTGGTCCCAGCGGTGGCATGAGCTACAGCAGCGGCGGCGGCGGCGGCAGCACCAGCATCACAACCAGCAGCAGCAGCACCAAACTGCGCTCTGGCAACTTCTGAATCTCCTGAGGACCAGTGCTCCGGCGCTGCAAGCTGCGTGCATCTGTGGGAGACACCCTCCTGTGCTTTCCGCTTTCCTGCCAAGTATGGAGCATTTGCAGAACGCCCTCGCATCTCTAAGAGAAACATCCTTCCACTCGCACGCGTGTGCCTCGGCTTGGCCACTCCCTTTATGGTGTCTTCGTAAAAGCGCTGCCTCTCCCCTCCCATCAGACGCACCTTTCTGTAATGCTTTCAGTAATAAAGGAAATCCCCTGTGGGCTTTGTTTTTGCAAATAAGTATGTGTCCGGTTGTTTGTTAATTGCTCTTTCGGCAGTGGTGTTTTGCAGCTTGGCAGCAAACCAGCACAAGGAAAGCTAAGACTGGGGAGCACTTGCTTCCAACCCACCTTTTCATGCCCAGACTTGAAAGGCAGAAGCTGAAATACAATAGATGCATGGAACGCAAACTGCACGTTCCTTACAGCCATGTTAACTTGCCCTTCATCAGTTTCTTACATCTAGTTTTTTGTTTTTCCTAATAACGTCTTTTTCTTTGTGACACATGGTTCCCCAAAGGAAGCAAATAAAGCACCTAACGACATTTCTTGGTACCTAGACAGAGATCTTAGAATCCAGGTGTAAAGGCCAATCCTCAATGGGCGGGTAGGAGCCCTTATTTCTTTTATGTCAAAAAGAAAACAACATGTAAAAAATCTTGAATGGCAACTGTGTTAAAAGGTCTATCGGTTTGTTTGAACTAATGGGCATCGCAAACAAATTTGCAGAATTTGGCAACTTTACAGTGTCAGACCCTTAATCCCTTAAAGTTGCCATCTGGCTGATTTCTAAGTCCAAGCACCATGAGGACTGTCTATGCAACAGCCACTCATTGGTACAGTATTCAACTGCATTTTGGCAAAGGCTCTGCATGGCAGAGTTGAACTCCAGCTTGGGAATGGCATCATTACAGAACATTTAAACAGTCAGGCTTCACAGAGAAAATGAGGCATTATATGCAAAGGGATGCAGAGGTTTCAGCAGTTGGGTTAGCATAAGGGATGCTGATGTTGCCTGTTTCACTTTCTATTGTGTTCACACTTTTCCTTCAAGTAGAAGTTCATTCAGTCCCATTTCTGCATCACATTGCAATTTTTTTATGAATGTGTCCATAAAATCTGGAATGCAGTTTTGTAACTAAGCTTCCTCCTAACATATGCCCCTAATATATGCCTTTTTGTACACTATATTCTTCTAATGCAGGATGTTTTCAACCCTAACCCTAACCCATTTTGTATGTATTTTTTAATCAGAGAACTGCATCGCAAAATTCTGAGAAATGCAAACACTGAACTATAATTGCATTCAGTTTGTGCATTTGTTTAGGAGGCGCACAGTAGATTGGCTCGCATTAAATTGCAATCCAGTTTTCTTAGTTATATGACTATATAAATATCTCTTCTCCTCCTTTATATAGATCTGCTCTTGCATACTAATGAGAATCCTGCAAGATGCTTGATTTCCTTGTGGAAAAGGTGGAACCCTGGTTTCTCCAGGGCATGTCCACATTCTTCCACACCACCACCAAAGCTCTGAAAAGAGATCTGACAAGAGTGTGCTAAAAAGAGGACACAGCTTGAAAAACTGAAAGCTACATATGCACATGTCAACACACAGCATGGAACAACTCAGAGTCAGTCCTAGTTCAAGGAGTAAAATAGCTGAGTTCAGGGCTGAGAAATTCTCATTAAACAAACAAACAAAAAGCCCAGCACCAAAGTAAGAACTAGATTGCTGGAAAGAGGATGTTCCATCCTTCAGACCATATAACAAGTTATTACGAAACCCTAAGGATTCTGGTACATTAACACCTGGAAACACATTTCCAAATGAATTATGTTTGTTAGGAAGCTAATGAGAAGTGATAGTGTACCATGCATGTTACATTCCAGCTTGGAAGCAACACCAAAGAAGGGGCTCAGGGCAGTACATCTTTATAGCTTGCTAAATGCTACCTGTATCAAAGTGTTTTGGCTACGCAATATGTACTGCCCAATGCAGAGCAACTTTTCTGGAGACTGTAATAAGGCATGTTGCTAATCTAAATTATAGTCACTAAATCAAATGTCACTTAATAGCAGGTGGGCCCAAAAATAAAACTGAGGGCAGGGCAGGAAGGGGGGAAGGAGAATATTTTCTCAAGAGACAGAGAGCTGTCCATGGAAACACCAAGCAGCTTGTAGAAGAGGAAGAGAAGGCAACCACTCTGGAAGGAGAATGGAAAAAGGTAAGTGCAATGGAGGTGAAGAAGCAGATGTATTGGCCCAAGATCAACACATGGGCAAGTTCTGGAGAAGTTCATGCGGCTTCAGATGGCTTCACGTGCTTCCCTCGACTGTGATACAGTTGACTTGCTTTACTCGCAAGAGAAGATGGGTGGTGGCATCCAATTCACAGAGTAAGCTGGTGAGCCAACACTTGAAGATGTTGTGAATTCTTGACAAAAACAAAATTACCATATTTTTCCGTGTATAAGATACTTTTTCTTTAAAATATTTACCTAAAAATGGAGGGGCGTCTGATACACGGGGGGGTGGGGGGGGAGGTGGGCGCAGGCGCACTCGGGGGGGAGACTGGCGCGGGCATGTACGCGGGGAGGCGACAAGGTGGTGGGCGGGTGTGTGCAGCAGCAGCTTGTGCGCTCGGAGATCGGTAAGAAAAGTGGGGGGCTTCCTATACATGGGGGCATCTTATAGACAGAAAAATACGGTATCTCTGTATGGCCTTGCTCTCATAAACGTGGACCATTTGTGATCATATGGATGGTGCCAAGATGGTGCTACTTTCTTCTATGGATACAAAACCAGAAGAGAAGGTTGCTTTCTATGATTGTTTGTTTGCCTTTTATACTACAGCATGGCATTTTGGAATCACTTTTTGAAAACTGGGAGTATCCTTGCTTGGGGAATTATTCAAAGTATCCCGATCACAAATCCAGGAGACAAAGTTTGGAGGCATGTGAAACTCAGTAGTTCATACTGAGCTGAAATCACATGGCTTTCCAGTGCAATGAAGTCATAAGCAATGACCTAATTGTCAGGCAAGAAAATTGTGTGCACAGAACTCACCTCAGCTATGGTGTTCCCCAAAGTTATCAGCTGCCTACAACTTGCAAATGTGAAAATTGCAATGACGTGGAGTCTAGAAGAGGAGATACAGAGGGAATAAAATAACCAAACTGAAGATACGGAGGCAACAAAGAACACCCCCCCCCCCCCACTAACAAGGCAGTCTATACTTGCTGGCACACTGGAGAATAGATACTGAACAACTAAGCAACGACAAACAAGGTGCAATTGCTTCTTGTAGTGCCAGAACGAGCTATTCTGTACCATGATTTTCTACCACCCAAAGAGGGATTTATTGCACTGAGAACTTCATCCCTTCTTTCTACTAAATAATACTCACAATTTGGCTCCAATAGACTTGTTTTACTTAGTGCACCACCTACGATTAATTTCCGACTTGGTTATGCGAGGGCTGGCATGTCTCTCTGCTCTCCTCAGGAACTCGTGTGTTTTGTTACATGCAAGAGGCAGACCCAAGCCACAGTCAGCCTTTGTGTTTGCAGAAATGGAGATCACCCAGTGCAACTGCTTCTCCAAATGCACTGATGACTGCAAAGCCCAGCATGAGTTCATTCAGAGTGCAAATCTCTCTTTGGAGGATCTATTTAAACTGTAAAACTCCTGGCCATAATACCTTACCAAGATGGAGCATTTTGTTTCTTCTCAAATCCCCTTCTTTTGGGCCTGATTAAGACTTCTTGGGAACTCAGAAGGTTGTATAATTCTGTGGAATCTTGCCTGGTCCCAATGAAGGTAATGACCATCCGTGGATTTGGGATTTTGTTTTCCTGAACCTTCGCTTTGTTTTTTAAGTGTCAGATTTATTGACAGAGGTGATTCTGTAGACATTTCAGATGTTTTTGCTTTCTTTAAGTATTATGTCAGGGAAACTTATGGATGGTTCCCATTTTTTTAAAAAAAGTTTTCTAGCCTACATGAAGGAAACAATCCTATTAGAGAGAAGGCTTAATCCCAACACCTTCAACTTCCATCTCTGTGTGGAGGGATTCCTGTTCTATGGGGAGACCTTTCACCACGTGTGCGACCACGTTCAACCAGGAGTGGTACAGATCAACTTCTCCGGGCGATGGCTAAAAGTGGGACCTGCAATAAAATCCTTACTCAGGGAATAGGAATTCACTTGCAAGTCCCACGTTTTCAAGCATCATTCCTGAACAGGATACGGGCACACACAGTGAGGACCAGGTACCAGGCAAGGTACACTGGTCCCACCTCCACCACCTCACACAGCCCATCACCCACAACCCACCAGCACCATCCCCATGCTGGCTCCACCTCCTGAGTCTGCTTCTACCTGTGTTCACCAAGCAGAAACCGTCATGCAATTGGGACGCATGCTTTACTGGGGCTCTCATGTGCTCAAAGGGTTCCAGACACAATCAGGGAAATGAAGGTGGAAACCCCCTTTGTGCTTGATATGGGGTGGGGGGACTTAGAGGAGGGGGGCAGTGGGGGCAGAGCTGGCACGCACAGCCTCTTCACTTGCACATGGGCTCCTGTGCTCCACGCCAGCACCGTGCCTGAATGGCGCTACACACGGCAGACCAGAATGTTCCTCCCGATCGGAGCCCCGCCTTTAACTCCCTCTAGTATTCCATTTTCCCTCCCGATCAGCAGGGAGATTCCGGCCACCAAGTTCCCCAGGGTTTTTTTTCTCCCCCCCACCCCCCCCTTCAGTTTAACCTTCCTCTTGTGCATGGGTGGGGCAGCTTTGGCTACAGACGCACTGACACTCATGGGGCGCACATCAAAGATGGAAGGAATGGCTTCAGCAAAGCCTATAATGAAGGCGAAATACAAGATCTGAGCTGCAAAGGACTTAAGGCAGATGAGTCATTCTGACCACTCAGGTGTCCGCTGAAAAGCTGAAAGGCAATCTGTTGCATGGCCCCCTGCCCCCACCCAGCTGGCCAGCTCCTTTCTTCAGGTGCCATTCCAGAGAGAAGCTTATAAAATTTAAGAGGCTTCTGACATCTTAAGAGGAGAAGCATATAAACATTTCTATAAAGGCAGCGCTTCGCTAACAACCACTGCTGCCCTCCCCTGCTTTCTTTCTCCATGTCAGTGGATCGTCCTAACACTGGGATTTAAATTGTAACTGCTAAATCAGAATGAATCTTATTTTTAAAAAACGCACCCGATTGTCACTTATTTCTGCACTGGAGGTCTGGAGTGATTGCACCAGAGCAGGCACTGGATCTACTTAGATCTTTAATGGAACAAGCAGCATTAGTCCAGCCCTGTACAAAGTACTTATGGGATTCAAAGGCACTCTCTGCCTAGGGATGTATGGATTTTCAGGGTAAGCTGGTGATTTCTCTGTTAGCGGACATAGAGAGAAAAAGCAAACTCCTTAGTGGTGAGCCTATTTGGGGGATTCAGTTCAGTAGCATGGATAGGTCCTATAAATCTCAAAAGAAAAGCTGCAATGGATGAGGAGACCCACTGACCACAGCCAGCCTGCTATGCAGATTTTGGTAAATCTGCACTGAGTTTTGCCAATAGTTAGGTCTCTTCATTCTATTGTCCAGCCATTGATGGAATCAGACTTGCAGTACAAGGATTTGGTTCTCATGTAAATGCATACTTGAGCTAATGCACAATTCTGCTAAAGCGCATTGCTGCAAATGCACTCTTGCATTTGTGCAAATCTCCCCACAAAAGTTAAAAAAATATGTCTGCAAGTTTGTGAAATCTGCACACTGTAGATAAAACTGTTTTACTGTGGAATCTGCAGGCCGGATTTAAAGAAACCTGAACTTATTTGAATCTCCAGCTAGAGAAAAGGTTTAGAGAAAAGATTGTTCAGAGAGGCTGAATCATAACTGGATGTTACAAAAAGAGGGGAACCTTTAAAGGTTCAGGGCCTTACGAGAATTGTGAAAACCACTTACAGGCTTCCCAAAGCTGAAAGTGGGGAACTTACAGCATTCTTAGCTCACTCCAAAGATAGCAGCAGGTGATAAGATATGTGAGGCGAGCAGCTGTATTTAATTTGAATGATGGATATTGGATAATGCCAAAAGACATGGAAACTAACCTCAAAAACCCCGTGTTAATTGGAAAGGTAGTTCTCTGTCAAGCATGCCTGAGTCGCACATCATCCCGTCTTCATATAATAGACTGGACTAGATCAATGATTCTCATAACAGAAGTAGTCCCCTTGCCTAGTGCACATCTTGCCTGGGTCAGTAAACCAGTTCTCCCCAAGCTGATGGTTCATACTACAGTTCTCATCATCTCCAGTTATGTGCCCACTGGCTATGTTGGCTGGGGCTGATGGGAAATGTAGTGGAAAAAATCCTGGAGAAGGCTGTAGTTGACCAAGCAATAATATCCCTCAATTGAGTGGGGGGAGAGGGAGAGGGAGAGTAGCTGAGCATCTTTCAGTATTTATTGACTTAAATCTGGAATGTGCTGCAAATGGGAATGAAGCCAGTGGGAGAATACCTCTCTTCAGGCCTTTGCAGACATATGCATTCATGGGATCAAATCATACCTTTTTCATCAACATTAAGAACATAAGAAAAGCCCTAAAAGAGCAGACCAAAAGGCTCTATTATCCTTTACTCTGTTTCATATGGTAGCCACAGGAAAACCCACAACCAAGGAGGACTGTGATGGCCCGTGCCTTCTGCCCTTTCACCCCCATATCAGTGGGCACCCAACTATGGGCTTACCTGGCAACAGTGGCCAGGCAAGCTGTGAGCCTCCATGTCAAGGGTTCAGAATGCCTGCCCACATCTTCTCCCTCTGGGGTGTTCTGGGAGATTTAAAATGGCAGCTCATGAACCAGCTGACTGGCATAGGGAACCCAAGGAAGGAATCAGTGCTGGTGGGTGCTATTAAGCACTGGGGAGCAGGTGCTGGAGTTGGGCCTGCACCAAGGACGTAAGGTGTGAGGCCTCTCCTGCTGTTCTCCCCCACAGTCTAGTATCCAAAGGCCTGGTGTCCCTGACCCTGCATGCAGCAGACAGCCTAGGAGCCATGGAGGGCTTTATCCTCCACAAATTGGTCTGAACTCATGCAAAGCCATATAAGGCCTTCTGAAATTATACACTATAACAGTTATGCCTTGTGGGAAGGGACACATGCTGGTTTGCCAGGGTCCCTTCCCAAAGCATACTATCGACTGTGCAGCCCTTGTCCTTCCCTATTTTCAGCTGACCATATCACCTGGAGTCTGCAGGTAAGCATGGCTGGAACCAGCCTTACAGTTTGCTCCTTGGGAGACCTCTTCCAAATGAAAAAGAAAGGTGGGAACTGTTTGCAAGCCCTGGTGCCTTGTGGTCACTTCCAGATGAGGTGTCCCTACACCGACAAGTCCACATTCACAAGTTCTATGAAAACGATGTTGGCAACTGGAACATGGACCAACAAACTTGACTATGTTGTCTTTAAGAAGGCTAATTTGTGGGGAAGGGGATGTTTGGAAAACCTAGGGATGCCCATGCTGTGTTCTTAAGTGTATTTAGGAAGTTCAGTGGCACCCACTTTTTCATCATTTGCAGTTTTGGTGTCACAATCTAGACCCGCACCAAAAAGTGTAACGGGGTGGCCCTTTTCCACCAAGTATCCCCCATGCCCCACGAATGTAAGCCTAATTATGATGAAAGGTCTCTTTGAACATCATATGTGGCGAGGAATTGCTAGTGATGACTTTCTGCAGCATTTCATTTTTTATGAGGTTTCCTCTTGATGGGCAATTAAACAGCCCTCTGTGCAATGCTCATAGGGAAGCCGACAGAAACTTTCCCAAGAGAAACAGCTTGTTTAACATGCCAACACCCAAGATGCGGAATATAAAAACGCTCTAGCAGGGAATGGCAAGTTCACTCTGTGGAAATCGGCATTTTCTGAGCCGTTGGGCGAACCTGCTGCAGCACCCCAGCTTCACTCACTATCTGGTGCAATGGCCTCCAGGTACTATGCTCAGACCATCTCTTCTGGCTCCGTCAAGGGACTGTGTGGCCCCTCTGGGGGTGGGATCACTCGGAATTCTTCCATCCATTCTGGCAGCTCTTGCAGAGTGCCAAGCCTTGCCTTCAGCAGTAGGAGTGTCTCTTCTTCTTCCGTTAAGCTGGGATCGGGGATCGGCATGCCCAACATCTGCCCACCAAGCAGCTGCTTTGGACCTGGGTTCGTTGGAGGCTTCAGCTGGCACGACGAGGGCATCCTCAGCTGCAACGAGAAGGAGCTGATGCAGTCCCTGAATGACCGCCTGGCCAGTTACCTGGAGAGGGTGCGGTGCCTAGAGCAGGAAAACACCAACCTGGAATGCAAGATCCGTGAATGGTACGAATGCCAGGCCCCCTATGTGTGCATCGACTTCCAGTCTTACCAAAAGATTATTGAGGAACTCCAGCACCAGGTAACGGCATTTTCATCATCATTCATTTCTAAAGTATCGTTCCTGCACAGGGCACACGATCCAACCAGATCTGGTATCACTGAGGGAGCTAAGCACACTTTTGCGCTCAGCACAAAGCTAAATGCACTGTTGCAATCCTGCCTGAAGTACTAGATTTTGTTTGTTGTGCTTTATGCAATGTAAGCAAAAAGGCCTGCCTCTGTCCCTGGGAACTGCCAGTCTAAGGTCTGATGACAGGAACAGAGAGAACTAGGGTCCAGGACAGGAGCAGGGAATAATGAATGCGCAGCAGCAAGTGCAATCACACATTCTTTCTTATTTATTTATTAAATTTATATGCCATTTAGCACTTGTAAATAATCTCTAAAATCTTACTAAGAAAGATGAAAACCCTTAAAACACACCATAATAAAGACAAATGCATAGGTTATGTAAAAACATTGAAGCCAAGTATTCACAATACTATAATCAGAAAGGAAACCTGGCAGCCAATCAGCCAGGGAAGTCCTGGGACTGGGTAACGAGAAAGGCCTTTAAGTGGTACCCAAAACATGCTACAGCTGATGCTTTATGAATGCATGGGGGGAGGCATCCCACAAGATGGCCGCCATCATGGGGAAGGTTCACTTCTGCACTGCGGCACGATGGCACCTGCAGGTCATGGTATGACACTTCCTTTACATGCTCTTATGCTTCCTTACGGCTGCTTAAGCACAAGCCTCACGGAAAAAGAGAGTTGAGTCTTTTACACTTTTTCCGGCAGGCAACTCATTTTGATTTGCTGCATTCGACTATTTATCCACTTGAGGGAATGAAGCAAATATCTTCTGCATCTCATTTCCTGCTGGACCATTACAGAGAAATGGGCTCCCTTTATCTCCCCATGCTTCTCCCAGTGCTACTGCCTATGCTTAGCACAACCACAGTTTGCTATGTCTTCGGACCCAACTTTGCTTTACCATAAATGCACAATTGCATTTCAAGTGTTTGGTGCTTTTCCAAATACTGAGGAAGGAGATTCAGGATCAGGATCACGCAGCATGTGGAAAGAGCACATTAACTCTTTAATCCACATTAACTCTTTAATCCAAAATACACCCCCAGTGAAAATCCCTCCTTCACATCCCACTGCCTTTGCCACTGGAGAGAAACTGTAATTGTTGTCAGTGGCAGCATCAGCATCCTGAGGACTGGAGAGAACTTTCCAGAGTGCAGGAAGGAAGGGTTATTCCTCCCAAACCAGTGTTGGTACCCTGATCATCACTACTTATTTTCTAAATTACCAGGCATATTAAAAGCATCAAAGCAAGTTGTTGCCTATGCACAAGCCACACTGGCAACATTATTCTGGGTTCAGTCAGTATATTTATATCTGGCACAACATGTCCCTAGTTATTCATCAGCTCAACTTCCCTTAAAACTCTGCCTGTTGCCACTTGCTAAACACCTTTAAACCAGATAACTCTCTCCCAAAGGGGAGTCAGTCTATGTTAGAAGATGCAGGATTAGACTGAATATCAGATCCAATATCAGAATAATAGGTATTAAGCCATTAACTTGGGAGTGCAGTTAGATAACTTTAGGCTTTGGACCTAATGGTTTTCTGGACTCCATTCCTTGGATGGTAATGTGACTTCACTTTCTTCAAAAGGTGACAAGGTAGTCCTTCTGTTCATTTTCCTGAGCAGGGTCCTGGACTTCTTCCCACCATTCTGGTCACTGGATGAACCCACTGAATGGCTTTGAGCAAACTATTTAATATGGGCTGCTGAGAGTAAGACGGGGGGATTAATCCCTCCATTTGGAGAAATTTTTGCAGCATGCATAACTTGTTCATTCCATGTTATTAATCTTCTTGCTGCAAGTCATTCAGAAAGGACACCCAGAACAGGAAAAGATGTTCTCTAGGAACACACCCTGAAGCTTTCCCCACAAGAATACTTCACAACCATGTGATTTTTTGTGCAGATCCTGTGTGCCAAGAATGAAAATGCCCGACTGGTGTTGGAAATTGACAATGCCCGCCTAGCTGCTGATGACTTCAGGACCAAGTAAGTCTTACTTAGGGCAAGCAATTAGTCTGGACAGGTGACTTCAGCTAGAAAGGGCCTTGAGTAGCAATCTTCCTTCCTACGAAGGATCTTTTAAGCCACTTTTTCCATTATGAAAACAGGTCAATTTTGTTTTGTGTTAACATCTCCTGTTCCATAGGTACGAGACCGAGCTAGCACTTCGCCAGAGTGTGGAGGCTGACATCAATGGACTGCGCAGAATTTTGGATGAACTGACCTTATGCCGGGCTGACCTGGAGGCCCAGCTTGAATCCATGAAGGAGGAGCTCCTTTGCCTCAAGAAGAACCACGAGGAGGTAAGAGCAAGGCATAGCTGGAGAAAATCTGGCCGTTGCTACATTCTGCTATTTGTGAACCATTTTATTCCATGCAGAATGGGTGGTCTCTTTCCTGGAGCATCATCACAGTGTTGAGGGTCAGCTGAAAATACAGGCAGTCCCCGGGTTACCAATGAGTTCTGTTTCTAAGAAGACGGAAATGTGTTCTTAAGTAGAATTTGTATATAAGTCAGATTATATATGGTCGGCCCTCGCAGGACCCCTGTGAATGTAGAAAAACCATGAATATCTCTTTCTCCCTTCCCCATACAAACTCGCCAGTGCCTCCTCTTTCAGCAAGGAGACGCCAGAGAGATTTCCCTCTCTGGATGGGCGGCATATGAAGATATGCTTCGGAGGCTTCCCTCTCTCTTTTCCTTTCTTCTCTCTCTATGGTGATGCTTTGGAGGTCTTCCCTCTCTCCCCTTTCATTTCCTCTCTCTCTATGGTGATGACAGCCTTCTACAGTAAATTAAAAAAATTAATAGGCTTTATGGCAATTTGCTCCTATGCACGGGTTGCTCATAACGGCCTGTGCTGTATTGTGTGAAACAGCAGCTCACCAAAAGTGAACCATGGAAGCACATTGAGAAATGTGCTTCAATCATGCGCCACTTCCAGTGATTTCCTGGAGCCCCTGTGTGGCTCTTTTTCAAAGCAGGGTAAGACAACAGGAGCTGTTCTGGATCAGACCCAAGTGTCCTCTAGTCTAGCACTCCGTTCCCTCCGTAGCCAAGCAGATGCTTCTGAGAAGTCCACAAGCAGGACCTGAATGCAACAGCGCTTCCCCACACGCAATCTCCAGCAACTGGTGTGCACAGGTCTGTTGCCACAGATGCTGGAGGTGCCATCTGCCATTGTGGCATCTTTCTCTCTCAGGGTAGCCAGACACAAAAGAGGACAGGCTCCTGTGCCATTAGCTGCTCTGTGAAGTGGGCCTTTCTGCAGGGATGGTCACACGAGTTGCAGCTGCTAAATTCCCTCTTCCATACAATATTAAAGGTATGGGAGACATGATCCCTTTTGTGCCTGGACACCTTGTGGACAGGAAACGGGTGACCAGGGTCAAAAAAGTCAAAGGAATGCCCAACTAAACTCATCAGTTAATCACTAACAAATTATTTTCTGGTGGTGTCGAGAAGAGAAGGGAAATAAAGAAATGTTGTTATGTATTTCCATCCTAACAGGAAGGATGGGCCAAAGGGTTCCATATCATGCTATGGAATTTCTTCATGGACCCAACTTCACAGAAATGCAGCTACGGTTATACAGATATTTCTGAGTAGATATATATGGGATTGCACTATTTGTTTATTATGATGTTGGTACTGGTAATATTCATAGCCTGATATTCAAGATGGTCAAAATGGGGCTGACACTGCAGTAAAAATGAATGCAGATTTACATAGAAAGGAGCAAGGTCCTAATTCTAAACAGCCTTGGAATATGCTTGGTCTACCGAAAGGAGGAGAACATGGGTGCTCTGCAGTGAGAAATAAGAAATAACACTATAGTAGAAACAGGTAGTACCACAAAGAAGGTAAGGTTGGTCCTTTGTGGGACCAATTTCTCTCCGAAAAAGTTTGCAAATACTCATGTCTCAAAGGAAAGATGTTTGGGCTGTACACAGTACGTAGTAAATTCCACCAAACACACGGGAATTATTTTTGAATAAATGTGTAGGACTGAACTGTTGGACACTTAAAACAAATAGGATACACAGAGGGAAGCATGCAGGCTGGGAAACCTGATTGCTGCTTCTCTGTCACAGCACAGGGTGAGTAGTAGGAGAAAAGTGGTCTGCCAGGGGGCCTTCTTCCACTTGGTCTGTGGTTCCTCCATGACAAAGCCCACACCTGTTGAGGATTTCAAGCTGTTTGCTAGCCAGATCAATTTGGGGAAATCCGTGAGGTGGGGGCAGCTGTGGGATAAAAAGAACAAGTGTACGAAGGGCCAGCCTCAACACCATGTGGAGTCATCCCTACTTTAGTCCTTGCATCAGGCATTGATATCTAACTGAGTCGCATCCATGTTTACGGAGTAATTCAGTTGATGCAAAATCAGCTGCCCCTTTCTGCAGGAAGTCAATGCACTACGCTGCAAGCTTGGGGCCAGAGTTAATGTGGAGGTGGACGCCGCCCCATCGTGTGACCTGAAGAAGATTCTGGATGAGATAAGGAGCCAGTATGAAAGCCTGGCTGAAAAAAATCGCAGAGATGTTGAGAGTTGGTTCTCCTGCAAGGTGAGTATCTTGGGAGGGCCATTTCAAGAAACCATAAAGCATCGTCTCCCCGTACAATGGAGGGACCAGTCCTCACCATTTCCTTTTTGTTTCAGATGGAAGAGCTGAACCAACAGGTTGTCTCCAGTGGTGAAGAGCTGCAGACTTGTCAGTCAGAAGTCATTGAGCTGAGACACACGGTCCAAGCCCTTGAAATTGATCTGGATGCCCAACAGAATATGGTTTGTTAATAGGGTGATTTGTGGGTGGTGGAAGATCTCAATGCCCCTCATAATTTTCTCCTAACTGAATCTAATATAACCTCTTTCTTGTTCTCTCTGCTGGAATGCGTCTCAATTTCATTGTTGCATTAAAATATATGAGGGCTTCTTAATCAGTTTGAATTCAGCCTTTTTTGTCTACTGACGTAGCAAAATATGAATATAAGTAGTGCTATCTTGGATCACTAGATAGTTTGGCATTGCAACTGAAGTTCCTCATGAGCTGCAGTTCAGATATTTCACTTTGAGGAGCCAAAAGGCTTTATATTGTTTTTCCTACAAGAATGAATATGGTGACCCATCCTGGAAGCCATCCTGCTTAGTCCTCTCTCTCTCTCTCTCTCTCTCTCTCTCTCTCTCTCTCTCTCTCTCTCTGTCTGTCTTAGAAAGGTGCTCTAGAATGTACCCTGCAAGAAACCGAAGCCCGTTACAGCGCCCAGCTGGCACAACTCCAGTGCCTGATCAGCAACATCGAGGGTCAGTTAGGTGACCTCCGATCTGACATGGAACGCCAAAACTATGAGTACCAGGTGCTCCTAGATGTCAAGACTTGCTTAGAATCGGAAATTGCAACCTATCGACGTCTTTTGGAGGGAGAAGACTGCATGTAGGTATAACCCAAATGGCTCCTGGGAAAAGCTACTTAAGTCTACCTCTTGAGGATAACTCTCACTGAGAGGGGAATCCTGTGCTTGGATGGTGCCACTTCAGCCAGCACACATTTGAGGGTGTGAATTATGGAGGAATTCAGATGCTTAATCAGAAGCGAATGATCATACAGGGAATGGTCCCTGCCTTAGGGTTCAGTCCTAGACACAAAACAGTCCTTCACTTCTCAGTATTCGCCAGCCAGCTTGGGAGATGTAGGACTTTTTTCCCCATCTAAACATATATAGGATTGAACCCTAAGCCATTATTTTGCCCAGCTCACGGAACAGGTTGCAGATCTCTAATGCTAATAAATTTGTGGCTGTGGATACAAGAACGCGAATTCAGAGGGAAAAGACATTTTGGGTAAAGATGGGGACAATTTGGATGTGGGGACATGGGCACCAGTTTTGCTAGACAAAGGCCACACTGCCCAGGGAATGTTAGGAGTTAGTTGTAGGCCTTTTTTCTGTTTAAGCCTGCCTAGGACTGTGCCCCAACCCATTTTGAGCATGTTGGACCAACTTTTTCTCCTTGTCCAGTTTTCATCCGATTTCTTTGCAACCTCAGGTTTCCCAATGTTCTGAGCGTGCCAGAATGTCCCCCTCCAGTCTGTGCTCCGGTCCCTCAGATCACTAAAAAAATCCGCACCATTACAGAGGAGATTAAGGATGGAAAGATCATATCCTCTCGGGAAGAAGTCCAGCATTTGATGTAGCACTTTAAGGCAGTGAAGTGTGAAAGCGACACCGGTGCATCATGGCAAGAGGAAGAAATCGTCATTCAGCTACAGCGTTGTCAATATTAAGGGAGGGTTCCAGCTAATGTTCTGTTCTCTTGATTCATTTCATTCCTGGGTACTTTGGTGCGTATACTAACTTCTTCAGGGATTGAGTTGCTTCCCTTCAGTAGTCATTCAGCCTCTGGGGTGAAATGTCAGCATTCTCAATAAACCTTTACTTCTGTTTACCTTCCTATATTGTATGGAGAAATTTCTTTTTGTTTCTCTCTTTGGTACCCACCTCCTTCACGTCTTGCTTAGAAGGCAGTTCCACTGATTATTCAACTTTCCCCCTCTGAAGCAGGTTTGCCAAGTACAGCATCAAACAAGAATGAGGTAATTTGGTGAGGGGGGAAACTCCCAAATATTGGGGGCATCGGCAGTCTCAGAAATCTTCAGAGGAAGCTGGACTCGGAGTGCCTTTTTTAAGCCTGGAAAAAGGAAAACCCTTGTTGTGCGGCTGCTCACTGCATTTTAGAGCCATCCTTCCCAGGGGATAAGACAGGGTACATCCTGTGGGAACAATACTACATTCTTCTGGCCCAGTCCTGGGGAAGCACAGCCAAAATGCTGCAGCAGAAGTGGGGATGGAGGGAGAAGAAACTTCAGCTGGTTCTTATAATTCTAAGTTAATTCAGTCCTCAGCCACCAACCCTGAACATTTCTTAGAAGTTTCTTCTTCCACCCCTGGAAGCTGAAGATCCACATACACACATTTTCATAGGGGACAAAGATGTTAATGGAATATGGAGGGAAGGCATGGCAAAGCTCAATACCAAGTGCACTGATGGATTAACTTCCTGGGTAACTTCCGTTTCCTGCTCCCTAGGAAGGTGTCTGGTCACTGATTACAATGGGTTTGATCCAGATTATGGCTACAATTTTATTACATTTACCTAAGTTCCTTGGAATTTAATGGAATCAGCTTCTGCGTCAACTACCTAAAATTGTTTAGGAAGGTAGTTGGGCAGGTCCCATTGGAATCAATGGAGCAATCTGGTCATGTCTTGAAGCCCCACTGATTTAAATAAATGAAGTGCAACTAGCAGATACACATACTCACTGTTAAGCCCCACTTACAGTGAGAGGCTTACGCCAAGATGTGAGTGTAGAGCTCAGTGTATCTCCCCTCTATTATCAAAGGCTCTCAAGATTTCATTACAGTAAGTTAAAAAAGCACCTTCCCTACCCAAATAGTTTGACTACAACTCCAAATGCCTGGTCCCTCTCGTGCTGCTCATCAAGAAAGAGATGGAGGGGCACAGCTTTTTAAGCCTGCCAGCAGGAAGCCTAACAGGTTCTGGGTTGGGGGTTTTCTCAGATTCAGGAAACATAAAGATCCAGTCCACTTTCCTTTGAAATCCGAGTATCAAAAATCCTACCCAAGCACTGGACAGAGCTTTTACTTATTTTTTCCTGAATTAATTTCAACTCTCGACTGTTATGCTGCCTGCAAGGGAGGAATCCCAGTGTAGCAGAAAGGAAAAATGAAGCTTTCCATTTAAGCGGTTCTTTCACACATCCATGCGTATGCGTGTGTGTTGGCTTTGTCCATAAATGGATATAGGCAGATACACTGTTGCCTGTTCAGATGCAATGGGCCACTCCAAGAAACCACGGTTTTTTGGTACACAGATGAATGAGCAACTGTGTCACATTAGGGTTTCAGCTTTTCCTACAAACCGAGACTGCCAACAGGTTCTGATCCAGCTCCTTCAGCAAGAATACCATGGCACATAAGCAGCAACCCTAACCCTGCTTTGGGGTTACTGTGGTTACAGCTCCAGCTATGACTGGACATTCCTTGCACGGTGAGGGAGGCAGTGCACAAGCATCAAAACCAATTGGCCCGTTCGTGATGCAGGCGGCAGCTCCGAGGAGGGCCGGACAGTTAGCTTCCTGCTGGGGTGTGGACTCTTGGCAGGTGCCCAGCCGTGACGGCTCTTGATGCCAACCCTAGCTGAAGTTATGACATACTGAGGCCCACAGGCATTCTGCTGTCAACGTGTTCTCCTAGTTAAGCCACATATCCGGTAGCTCTTGAGAGTGAGTGCCCCTTCCCAGCACCACCGATGGCATCCCTTGCTGGTGCAGAAAAAGGACCATCTAAGCCAGCATCCACGTCCCAGCATCACCAAGCAGATGCTTCCAGCAGGACATGAAGGCAAAGCTGCCCCCTCGGCGGCTTGCCAGCAAATGGTACGGGAGGCACCTTGTCTCTGAATCTGAAGTGAGCATAACCATCGGCAGCGTCATCATCCATGAATTTGCCTGATCGCCTATTACATTATTCCACGTTATTTTAAAGCCACTCAATAGCTGAAGCCCTCTGGGCAGTTCACAAGAAGTCACACAATAAAATATAAAACAAAACGTCATTTCAGCCAGTGGCCATCACATCACAGCTTCTCTGCACAATTTTTCCATTTGCATCCTTTACTTTTTTAATTATTTATTTCCACCCATCAGCCAAAAGGTTTCCTTTTTGATTTTCAGTCCTTCAGAAGCACACAAACGGGGTTGGTTTTTAAAAGCACAAGTGCATACTTTTGCCTGTCTGTTATTCACTTTCTTTTGTCTTATCGGCAGTGCAGATCAAAATCTCCTTTGCACATGTTGTCAGTTTTATCTTCTCTAAAGCATCACATCTTGAAATGGCTCTTGCCGGTTTCTGCCGTACTTTGGTGCTTCCTTAAACTCTGAGCTCTGAAAGTGGTGGCAGAAAGAGATGGAACTATTGGTTCAGGAACTGCAAATAGTGCTTGAGTGTTGGTGTAATTACTATGGGAGTAGGGCTGTACTATGGTATGGAGAAGAGAGACTGTGTTTTCCACTGCTTTTTCCAGGGAACTCTGTAGCTACTTGGGAAAAGCCATTCACAAGCCATTGTGCCAGGTCAGCATGTCACACCCAGAAAACAAACCACCCTGAACAAGCCAACAATAAGCTACAGTTTCTCAGGATGGCTTCCCTGTGGTTAACAAACCACCCCGAAGACTCCATGCTGGGTCCAGATGTCATGGCAAGCTGTTCTGAAACAAACAAGGGTGATAACCCACTATGGTCACTATCTTTATTTCCCCCAAATTCCTCCAAGTAGGAATTGTGAAATAGCCTAGTCCCACACAGTATTCTAGGCTAAGTGGCAGCTCACCCTGACCACTGTTCTTGGCAGCCATCATGGGAACCCCACCCCATCAGCTCTGTATCATGATATAGTATTGCTCTAAAGCATGTCAGAAAAATAAAAATTGCAAACAGCAATAACTAGGAAGCCACATAAACACCTTCAGTTTCAGAGATCGCCTTCTCCAATCCAGTCCCATTTCTGGACAACTCTGATAGCACTAGTCCCAATACACTTTTTATTTCCAACAAATGCAAGAACTGCCCATTTACAATTATGTAACCATCAATGAATGCGCAAGAGGAAGCATCCGCTTGCCCCCATGGCAGCTATATTTTGCAATGCGACCTTAAAGGGGAGTTATCAAATAACATTTGTTGTGTAATGTCCAAACACATAATGCATGACCGATCTCCTCTATTCACATTAGCACTCTATTATTAGCACTCTCAAAACACTTCAAAAGTCTGGCAGGGCAAGACTGATCTTTGCAGAACTTGTGCTGATTCCCCCTCAGCATCCCTGGTCTTTAAGAATAAAACTGCTTCCCATGAATAGGCCTAGTGGAAAACACATTAAGCTAGTGGCTTGCAGTTCTCTGGGTCCTCCAATCCCTTTTTAAAGATTAGGGTTACACTGGCTGTTTTCCAGGCCTCTAGTATAGAAGTCTATTTGAGGAACAAGTTGCATATTTCTGTTAGAATTCCATGATTAGTCCTTGAGTGGACGCCATCCGGACCCTGATGACTAGTTACTTGTTAGTTGGCCAGCAACTTACCTCTTCCCACTTGATGTTGATTCAGTTTTTCAGACTCCCAGAAAGCCCTGGTCCCAGCACAACTCTGGGACCTTCCACCACTCTAATATAGGTCTTAAATTGAACAGTCTTGAGTTGCTGTTGTTCATTGGAAGTGATACCTCCATCATCAGTCAGAACTTCCATTACTGGGTGCTATAGAAATGCTATGAATACATAAATAACCAGGGACTTTTCTGCTTCAGGGGAATGCCTCCTAATTATGAGCTCAGGCAAGCTTCCCAAACCTACAAGGAAGATGCTAGCTGTTGATGAGGACACACCTGGAGGGTTCCAGATTGCGAAGGTGAGCAAACAAACAACGGATGAAGGAGGGATTGTAGTTCAGTGCTTTGCATGCAGAAGACCTTCAGGGTGGGTTCCCAGCATCTCTGGGGAAGACAAGGATAGATTCCTGCCTGAAACCTTGGAGAAATACTGCCAGTCAGTGCTGGCAATACTGGACTAGACCCCTGGTCTCACATAGCATAAGGCAGCTTCCTCTGCTCCTCTGCTACTGAGTACCCTGGCTGTACCCACAGGGGTTGCATACAGGTTTAAGCTCAAGCAGCTGGTCTTGTCGAAGCAGACTTCCCCACTCTCACCTGCCCATACCACCCCTCCATCCCCTGAAAGGCCTACATGGAGAGTCAGGAAATCCTGCCACATGGGGCAAACTGTGATGTGTGTAGCAAGAGGGATCCCCAATGACCAGGCAGAGGGAACCTCCATGAGCAGAGCCCTTCCTCTTGCAGAAGGCAAATCCTGGAACCAGCCCAGCAGGTAACTGGATGCTGATGCTCGGAAGGCCAGAAGTCCAAGGCTATTTGCTACTAGGCACTACGACAGAGCAAAGCACTACAGAGGATGCCAATCCAACCTGGGCGAGTTTCTTTCCTGTCACCGAAGATGGCAATCAACAATGTTTTAAATACAAACCAAAATCCACCTAGAAAATCTTCCAAAGGGAGATGGAGAGCAAAACTTGTCCTCATCGGTCTCTGATGCCCCAGATGGCCTCCCGCCAATGAATTGCTACTCAGAGTATCGGACTAGGCATCCTGTAATATCTTGTGCAAAGTTTCTTGGACACTTTGCATGTAGACAGAGAAATAGCAACGCTTCATCTCCTTTGTGCACTGGCACAGTCAGGAGGAACGGTTTGACAGGCCTGCTGTTCAGCTGGTCAAAGTAGGGCAGGGAGAGAAAGGGAGGGGGCAAACCCACTGTGAAACCCCAAGCCTATAATGCTACCAAATGACCTACACCCAGCTATTGAAAGCTGCTGTTTGAAGATGACAGCTTGCTTTGATGGTGCCCCATAAAATCATCATGACAGGGACAGTCAGCAAGAGGAGCCCTGACCTCTTTCCGTATGTGGCAAGGAGACGTTTTATGAGCAAAGAAGTGCTTTTTAAGCAAGCATTGGGCAGGACTAATGAGAAGCCCACAGTGAGTCTCCGCAAAGGTAAAGCCTCGTAAATGAGCCAACACCTAATGCTTGCGGTATAAAAAGCTCCTGGAGCCAGATCATCTTCCAGACGCGGGTGCCTTGGGTCTTTCAGCTCTCTCTGGAATCTAGCTCTGCCCTCTTACCATGGCTACAACTTCTGCTCGCACTTGTGGATCCCTGCAGGGCCCCTGCGGAGTCATGCCCAGCTGCCGGCCAAGCAGTGCTGTCTCCGTCAACTGCAGACCGGGGCAGGCTTTTCCTCGCCGATCGAGCATTTGCCTGACTGCTCCAGTCCCCAGCAGCTACCGAAACAGGGGCTACATGCCGGCTACATGCCTTCCCCCTCCTAGCATGGGCTCTACTTGTGTCCCGCCACCCTGCATCCCACCCCCTGCCCGCCCTCTCAGCTGCTACGCTGGAGGACACAGTGAAGGCATCCTCAACTGCAACGAAAAGGAAACCATGGAGTTCCTGAATAGTCGCCTGGGCAACTACCTGGAAAGGGTGCGCTGTCTGGAGAAGGAGAATGCGGAGCTGGAGTGCAAGATCAAAGACTGGTACGACTGTGAGAATGCTTATGTGTGCACCGACTTCAAGCCTTTCTACTGCACCATTGATGATCTCCAGCAGCAGGTAATACCAGCATCTTCCTGGGTTTGATTTGATGGCAACATGGGCACTTTGGATGCCTCTTGTTCGATTCCATGAACTTCTTTGTTCATTTTTAATTGGAGGATAGACAAGAAAATGTGAGGATGTGATATTGTTTCAGACTGGCATGCGATACGCGCTTTCAAGATGTAGCTCACCCTTCATCAGCACATGCTTTGGACTAAGTTCCATCACCCTGACCATTGGCCAGGTTGGCAGAAGCAACTGGGAGCTGCAGTCCAAAGCATCTGCAAGCATCATGTAAGCGATGGCTATTGTAGCTAGAGGCTCATTTCTTCCAGTAGATGAATAGGAATTGCCAGACAGGGCCAGACAGATAATTCTCCAAGCCCACCTTGATGTGGACTAGAAAGATGACCACACGAAGGATGTGATGCTGAGATCTGCCTGCTAGAATACCAAATGAAACACTTGAATAACTAGATTATCACATTTTTAAAAGGTACTCAGTAACGCTACAAGTACTTGAAAGGCTGTCACAAGGAGGAAGGACAGGATCTCTTCTTGATCATCCCAGAGTGCAGGGCACGGAAAACAGGGTCACATTACAGGAAGCCAGGTTCTGGCTAGACCAGGAAAAAATTCTTGACTTTTAGAGCTGTATGACAATACAGCCAATGACCTAGGGAGGCTGTGGGCTCTCTCACTCTAGAGGCATTCCAGATGCAACTGGATAGCCGTCTGAGAGGGATGGCTTAACTTGGAGTCCTGCACTAGCAGAGGGGTGGACTTGATGGCCTTCTTGGCCCCTTCCTACTCCACTATTCTATGATTCTATGAACTCCAGCTCATCACAGCCTCTTGCAAGTTACTTTAACCAGGTGATCTGAAGGCAGAAAGGTCTGAATACTGAGTGTTCATTCCATGGTACAGTTAGATAGGTAAGAACATCAGAAGAGCCATGCTGGGTCAGACAAGGCTCCATCTGGGCCAGCATTCTATTCACGCAGTGGCCAACCAGTTGCCCATGGGAAGCCTCCAAGCAGGACAGGAGGGCAAGAGCCCCTCCCACCCAGCTACCCAGCAACTGGTGTCAGCAGGCATTAGACTATGGAAGTAATGGTCTTCTCTCCCTTCCGTTAGAGGGAGGTCCACATACTTCAGCTACTCAAAATATGGCGAGCCTGCTTTGCCACACTTGATGGCGCTTCAATGGGGGCTCTAGGCCTCTGTTCCAAAGTCCTCCTCTGGGTTTCCCAGTACAGGCAGCCAAATGCCTGGAGAAGTTAAGCATTCAAATGTTCCTATTTACTTCTGTGAGTGTAATATTCTCTTTACTTAGTGTGTGACAGCTGGCATTCCTAGGGCACATATGTAGTGTCTGAGATTTTGACATTAGTCTGCTTTTGCAAAAACATTAGTAATTATGTTGTACATATGAGCGTGCAAGTTTAGTGCTGATCATAGCTTTAATATGTTTTGCTTTCTGATTTAGCAGCTGGCTATATGTGGTTATATGAGGCAGGGGAAAGCCTATTTAAACTTTACCCCGCTTGTAATAGCCACTTAACCATTAGTAACACGAAGGACGTGCTTTCTTTTGTTTTTAATAGGCTTTAATAGGCTTCCTCATTATGATGTAATAATTGTGCATGCTTTTGAGTTAACACTGAGTCCAAACAAAGACTTCACTCCTCCCTCCCTCCCTCCCTCCCACACACACTCATGTGCCACACATGCGCTCAAAAAGCGCTCACACGTTCAGGTTGCCATGGAAGAACACAAAGGATGCATACAGAGGTACTCTGCATGTAAATTTGTTTGATTCTCATGTCCATTTGTTCCATTTAAAAAGCAAAGCAAGCAGAATTCATTTTCTAAAAGCTGGAAACCTGCCCTGAGAAAGCAGGGGAAATGCTGTGATTCGCATCACCAGTTCTAGCCAATCAGTGCCCTGCTCAGCTGGATCCATGGCAACAGCGTTTAGCCAGCCCCCCCTGGGTTCATCCTGGGGCACTGGAGAAAACATCTGGCCAGTGTGCTTCTGCAGTATGTCCACTGCTCCAATCGCATCTGGAGAAACTTGCAGGATGCACCAAGATGTCGGCCACCATGTCTTTCAGGCTCCTTTGCACCTGCTCCTACCTGGGGGTCCAGGAGTGACTTTTTTCCCAGCTCTTTTTTGACCAGAATACATCCATTTTGCAGTCACTGGGTCTGAACATGGTCCTGTACATTTCTAAATGTGTGATGCAATTTGTGCAACAACAACAGTGCAATAAAACCAACAGGGCCAGGAAGGTGATCAACGGCTCCATTCGTGAGGGAGTGCTCCCATGCCTTGTGAAAGAGATGGCAGGGTGCTGGTTTTAACCTATAAAGCTTTACAAGGCTTAAGACCACAATATTTGTTAGAGTGCCTCCACAACCACAATCTACTCAGACACTACACTCAACCTCTGGGGCCTTCCTCCAAGGCTGACTCTGAGGGAAATGTGGAGGGTGGCAACGAGAGGGAGGGCTTTCCTTGTGGTGGCCCCCACATCTGTGGAATAGCCTCCCCCCTGCAGCCTGTCTGGCACTGCATCTGTTGTCTTTTGGGTACCAGGTTAAGACAGCCCTCTATGCTGAGGCTTTTAAAGACCTATCTGGGTACCCAAGGGCTATAGGTATTGCCCTTCCCGGGTGTTTTACCAAATCGGTTTGGTTTTAACTGATTCAAATGTTTAAACATTTAATGTATTTTTGATTGTGTGTATGCAGTATTTTATATCTGATTTATGGAGTGCTGTGCACTACCCAGAGAGCTTTGGCTGTGGGGTGGTATAGAAATGAAATAACAACAACAAAATGCATACATGTGAAAATGTATGTGTTCTTTCAGTATGTACTCTTGAAGGAATACATGCAAAAATAGGCACATTGTTTTCTGCAAAAAGACAGGACAATCCGACTCACAATCCGACACAAGTCGGAAAAAGCTTTGCGATGAAATTCAGAAAAGCTTGGCTTTTGCTGAGTCGCTCTCCCCTACTCTTACCTTATCCATCTGGGGTAGAAGGTAACGCCATTTTAATTTCTTGTTTTTCAGATCTGCTGTGTTAAAGCTGACAACGCAAGACTGTGTCTGGACATCGATAATCTGAAGATGGCTTCAGATGACTACTGCACTAAGTACGACGGTTTGTGGGGTTGATGGAACTAATTCTTCTTCAGCCAGTTCATTTCATAAGTTGTGCTCCTTCAGTGGCTTCCAGGTGGAGAACAGTAGGGGGTCACCAGTAAGAGTTTTTTGGGGAAACCTGGCTACAAATGTTGGGTGTCATTAGGTATAGGACTAGTGAAAGGCTGACAGATCAACATTTTCAAACTAATCATGCCTCAGAAACTTTAGCATCAATTCTCTTGGGACCCAGAAAATTTGGAAATGACAGGTATTCTATTAAGAGAGAAACAGGCGTACCAAGAATATACAGCTATGCTTCCATATAAGGTGGGCTTGAAAAGAATATTTCAAATGAATGATGAGCAGATCTGTCAGTTGTATCTTCTCCCACATTCAGGGTTTTTTTTAACTTTAAGTTATTTCCATCTTGCTTATGGCAAAAATATAATTTTGGTTTACTTCCGCTACAGCAGTGAATCATCCCTGCCCAATCCATCAAGCAGCACACTGTAGAGCTGAGGCACGTAAAATAATTATTCAACCGCCTCTTTTTCTGCACGCATCAGTATGCAACCCCATGCATAGCTTTTCGTTGTACTAGCTTACTCCATACCCAGAATCACCATCACAGTTTGGAAGCCCAGCTTCACCACTGTGGTTACAAAACAGTGGAGAAACAGTGCCATCTTTTGCATGCCTGTTCGGAAGTCAGTCTCACTGGATTCAATGGGGCTCATTCCCAAGTCAGTGGATAGTTGATTGTATTTGCTGCAGTAACAAAATTCCATACTACTCGTATGATATGCATGTTCTGTGTCCCACTGTATCCAAAAAGAGCAGACCTTGTATGCTGTTCCTCTTCATGACAATACAGAAAATAGATAATTTCTGTCTGTGGGTAACTGATGGTCAACAGAACCTGAGACACGGGGTGTTTCCTGGCAGAGTTCAGAGCGCTACCAATCAAAAGACACTGTGCTGCTTTGGCATGTTTTCCACTTTAGTGGGTATGTTTTCTGGTAACCAAAGAAAAGGGCTAGTGGTGGGAAAACACAGGAGAGTTGCAAGTGGAAGTCATCATTCCTTGGGGACAATCTCCAATAAAATTCCACAAATAAGGAAGGGTGATTGCATGGTGAAAAGTAGCCATGGGGACAAGCAGCCAAAGTCTGCAACAGCCTCTCCCAGCTTGGCACCCTCCAGATCACCTCTGGCCTTTGGGCATGTCTGCTGTGGTTAGTAGGAATCAAGTCCAAAACATCTGCAGGAAGACTGGATTCCATTAATTGTCCACTGGATCCACAACTGGGCCTGGATTAGTGCCTACCACTCTGAGTTCTGGACTTTATACTGTACCCATGGGCCCTCCTGTACTGATGCAGTTTCCTTCCTTTGAAGGTATGATTATGAACTGAGTCTGCGCCAGCGGGATGATGCTGACATCAGCGATCTTCGCAGAGTCTTGGATGATCTCACCCTGTGCAGGGCTGACTTGGAAGCTCAACTTGAGTCCTTGACTGAGGAGATGATGTGCCTGAAGAAAAACCATGAGGAGGTATGGCCCAAACATTGCCCGTATGACGCACAGAATAGTCGCATGGGTGCAAGGACACAGAATTACAGAGATGGGACCACACCGAGGCCATCTAGTCATTGCTGCCCAAAGGAAGGGCACAATCTGTCCAGTAACTCCCTTCTAGATCCACCCCCATGAAGTAGTCCAACCTTCCCCAACCTCAATGTGTTGGAATATCACTCCCCTCATCTGCAGCCATTGTTTGTGCTGGCTGGGGAAGACTGGAGTTGGAGACCAACACGTATGGATGGCCCCTCTTTGGAGAAGGATGAGTTACACCCCAAGCAGAGCAAAATAGCTCAGGGTACTTTATGCAACCAGCTGCACCCAGTGGGTGAAAGCCAAAACTCCTGAGGGTTCCTAATCAGCACAGGGAGATTTACTTCCATTCAGTTCCAGCCATCTGACTCTGGGCTCAAAGCACGCCCTGGTCATTGAATCGCCCCTCCTGTTTTTGCCTACACCCAACAAGTCTCACCTGTGCAACCAGTTTGCAACACTTGTCCACTTCCAGTGAACAGATCACGGCATATTCAGCACTCCATTTTGGTTGCAGAAGCAGATGTCAGGATGAAAGTTTGTGCCCAGCATCCTTTCCACGTCCTCCTCTTTGCTCCCTTCCCCAGGAGTCCTATGCCCTTCGCTCCCAGCTTGGTGACCGCATCAACGTGCAGGTGGATGCTGCCCCGTCTTGCAACCTTAACAGGATCCTGGAGGAGATGCGACGCCAGTATGAGGCCGACCTTGAAAAAAATCGCCAGGAGGTTGAAGACTGGTACTCTACCCAGGTATGGCCCTCCTTGGAGGCCTCTAAACAAATGTACACTAAAAATGTTCTCAATGGCCATCTTTCATGTTAGAATCCCATTCTCGACCCCCACTTTTGTTCCTTTAAACGTATTCCACCAGATGGAAGAGCTAAACCGGGAGGTGCTCTCCAGTGGAGAACAGCTGCAGTGCTGCCAGACCGAGATCATCGAGACACGACGGTGTGTCCAGGCCCTGGAGATCGACCTACAGGCTCAGCAGAGCATGGTGAGCAGCATGTGGATTGCCCAGCGCGCCCCCGGTTGCTCAGCAGCACGTCCACACAATCTCAGCACGTCCTGCTTCGGAGCAGCTGCTCCAAAGGAGCAGGGGAAGGAATCCCAAAGTCTAGCACGTGTGGCACAGGGCTGGAGAACCCGTGGCTCTCCAGATGCCCTTGGACCGCAGCTCCCATCATCCTCAACTGTGGCTGATGGGGACTGAGTACAGCAGCAGCAAAGCAGGGGCCATGGGCTCCCCATCCCTGCATTTTGTACTTATCCTTGGAGCAGAGGAGCCCCTTAGTTCTGCACCATTAGGGTCTACACAAGACAAGAGGTTAGGCTGCCAAAGCAGGTGTTGATGGTTCACTGAGTAACCTGGATCAATTCCTGATCCACCGCAAAGGCTCAGCGCAAGCTGTATGGTTTGCTTAGCTCATTCAACCCTTGAAAGACCCCCGGAGGGCACAGGAAGCTAAAAGCATACCTGGCTGTCACCTTCTTCCACCAGTGGCAAACACTGGCCACCAGGCTACTTGCTGTGTGAGGCAAGGCTTGTTGACCAAAAGGGCACCCTGAAGAAAATGGACGGCAGAGTCCAAATACTGGAAATGGATTTCATTTCCCCTAGTTAATTGTTGATATTTGAAGCTGCTTTCATAATGTTCTATTATAAAGCTATACATATAGATATAGCTGTCAATCATAAGACACTTTGGGAAGACTATGGCCTTGAAAGGCATCTAAGAAAAATATTGCACATATTACTGTGAAGACAGGTTTAATGTGCTTGCATTTGCACTGTGCAGATATGATGGATGAGCAGGGCTCTGCATTCCACAACATCTGTGCAACTTCAGACCTGGTGCAGGTGGGGTGGGGCTTTCTGGGGGGCACGGGAGAAGTGGAGAAGTGGAGCCATCCTACTAGGAATTCCGGAGGTGCACCAGCCCCTCCTCCCCGTGAGCAGGGGTAAAACACCTGTCCGCATAAGGGTTTTGAAGGGCAAGGGAAGTGTGGAGAGAGCTCTTCTTTCCGTGCTTCCTCCAGCATCCCACTGGATGCCTGTAATCTTCCCAGTTTGGAGGGCTTGGCCAGCCACATGGACGGCACTGCACTGCTGCCCCCCCCCCCCAGCTAAGACCCTTGCAGTCCATCGCACCCCTATTGCCATGAGTAAGCACTGCCCGCTGCTACCCTGCTGAAGCCCCCTGCCTCCTTCCACTCTCAGAAAGGTGCTCTGGAGTGTACTCTGCAAGAGACAGAGTCCCGCTACGGCACTCAGCTCTCCCAGCTCCAGTGCCTGATCAGCAACGTGGAGACCCAGCTCAGCGAAATCCGTTGCGACATCGAGCGCCAGAACTGTGAGTACAAGACCCTCCTCGACGAAAAGGCCCGCCTGGACTGTGAGATCGCCACTTACCGCAACATGCTGGAAGGAGAAGACTGCAAGTATGTATGCAAAAGATACACCTGGCATGGGGATTTATATGGCTTTCACCTTGTGAAGCTCACCTTTGCTTCAACCCCAAAGCACACCTGTAGCGGGGATTGACCCAACCCAGAGCTGGAGCACAGCCCTTCCTAGTATAGCTGCCCAACCTGGTACCTTGCAGACTATGATGCCCGCAGTGGGCAGCCAGCAGGGCCAGCGGGGAAGGTTGCCAAGCCAGCGTGTTGGAACTGAAGTGTGCAAGGTGATGCAGCACAGAACACAAAAGGGCTGCTGCACGTAGATGCTTCTAACACGCTGCTTGGAAGAATCTCTCCACACAGAGCTAAGACATTCCCATCGGGTACTTCATTTTGTTCACACAGCTTTAATAGACCGATAGCCATATCCATTCAAGAATAACCCTGCGGCTCAGCTGGGCTGTGATCTGAAGCCCAGATACTTGGAAATAAGGGCAGATGAAGTAAATGGGTCAGCAAACTTACAGCTAGTCCTGTCTAATCTTGGAAGCTCAGCACGGGTGGGCCTGTTTGAAATCTGGATGGGTGGCTTAAATGTTGTGAACTGCCCGACTGTGGGCAGTATAGAAATGTAATAATAACATCCCTAAGAAGAACACTGTTGTGAGAGCAACCACAATACAGAGCGCAGAGCTTTGGTGCCGGACATCTCAGCTCACCCCTTCTTAAAAATACTCTCACGTTGTCAAATGAACTTGCTTGCAAGGACATGGCTGCCTCTCCTGAACGCTGCTATGCTCTTTCTCCAGGCTGCCCAACCGTCCCTGCAACCCGGAGTGCGGGACCGCCATCCGTTCATCCGTCTGCCGCCCAGTCTGTGTGCCGGAGCCAGTCTGTGCTCCTGCCCGCCCTCCGAGCTGCAAGCCATGCGTGCCGGTGGTGGAGCCCAACCTGGCCCCGTCCTGCATCAATCCCGGGGGGCCCATGTATGCCCCGTGCGGCCCTCCGCCCTGTGTGCCCCCTCCCTGCGGCCCATGCCGACCTCCGGTCTGCCCACCCCCTTGTAGCCCATGCCCACCGGGCCCTCGAGTCAGCACCAAGATCTGCCGCATGTGAAACTCCAACAGCATCAAGGAACTGACTGACCCGAAAACCAGAAGAGAGAAAAATAGGGGGGAAGGTATGCTTATCCTGTGCTTAGAAAATTCCTCCAGGTGTTATACTAAAGATGGTGAGCGCTGCCTAGAAGGTGGCTGTGGTAGCGAGGTAATTCCTCCCTTCCCTGCTGCTTTCGTACTTGCTGGGATGCATGGGAGAGCCTTTGGTTAAGTTTGAATAAACTTCTGTTTTCTGGCATAGCAACAACGGGGCCTCTGGGCTGTTTTCTAGGAAAGGGCTTCTGATCACAAAGGGGTGAGATTTTCTGGAGGGAAGCAAAGGGTGGGATCACAGATCTGCCTTCGGCTGACAGAAGAACTCTGCTCACAGAAGATGCCTCCTTTTCAGGGCTGCCCCCTTTGACTCCCCTGCAGTGCAGCTCACCCAGAGAGCTAGAGGAGCTGCACCAGGGAAGAGGGACTGGGAAGCTGCAGGGGCACCTGGTCTCCTTTTGGGTAGGTCCAAAGAACAGCACCCCTCCCCCTTTTGCTCCTCCACACCTGTGCATAGGTGACTGAGCTAAAAGCAAGCACGCACAGAAACAAGGGGCCCTTAAAGGGCCATTCCCCCCACCAGGGCTCCTTTCCAACTCTCTCAACATGTTCTCAAATACTGGCAACAACATCAAGCAGCAACACCCATGAATAGCACGAGGAAGATTGCAGCTACCCCACAAGGAGCCTTGCCAGGTGTGCCAAGAATGTGGGAAAGTCTCACCATCAGGAAATCTTCATGAAACGAAGCCAGGGGCTTCTCTACAGGGGGCTGTTTTTCCAATACAAACCTCCCCCCCCCGCGCCGCTTTTCCCCATTGACAATGGCCTCTACACCTGCTCTTTGCTCCTCTCCTGAATTGCACCGTTCACGTGAGTGGAGCTTCCACATGCATCACGATGGAAATGCAGTGTAACTCACACAGGAAGGAAAAACAAAGTTCCCCCTTTCCCTTCTCCATCGCAAAGAACGTAGAGACTGCGGCTGAGCCTAGCGGCCCTTTGGAGATTTTGTACAAGGCAGCGAGCTGTTACCTCGCAAAAGCTTTACAGCTCCCTTCACCACTGGCCAGCGCTCTCTCTCTCTCTCTCTCTCTCTGTGTGTGTGTGTGTGAGAGAGAGAGAGAAAGAGAGAGAGAGAGAGATCGCTACGGTGGTATTTCAGTACTGCGCCATTTCCTATCCAGTTGCATCTTCATTGATCGGGGCAAGCAGGGAATGGATTGCGTCATTTGCTCCTTCCCCCCCCCCATCTCCCCCGCTACCTCCACTCTCTCCCGTGGGATTTAGGAGACATGTGGTTCAGGGGGACAAAGGAGGCAGTCAGGAAGGTACCACAAACCATTTTTCGGGGGGGAGGCGTCATTTGGAAGTCGGGGAGAGAGGAGGCTGTGGGAGTGCCGGGACAGGTGAAAACAACCCAAGCCCCCTTGTGTGCTTCCCCCTTCTCCTTCCCTGCTCCTTTCCCCCCAAATGTCCAACCAACGGAGGATTTCCTGTTGCCCCCCTCGACCACCTCAATGGAATCGGCCATGCAGAAAGAGACACGAAGGAGAGGAAAAGCAGAAAAGCGTCTCCTCGTCTTGCAGGCACGTGGCGCAGCAGCAGCAGAATAGTACAGGGCAGGCAGTGCAAGCGAGGGGGGCTTTCCACCGCCTCGTCGTTGCCAATAGCGCAACCACGTCTCCAACATCCCCCTTCCCCGGAGAGTGGAACATACCACCACGAGGGGCGCACACCGAGTTTGGTGCCAAATGCAACGCGATAGACGAGATAATACAGTTCAAAGAAAGAGCAAGAAAAGCACAGAAAAGGGGTTGGAGGGACGACGCCATGAAAAGCCCTCACAAACTTCCAGAGTCAGAGCACAGTAACTGCCTTGGGGAAGATCAGGCCCTAGGGGAGGCTCAGGCTCGGCTTTGGCTGGAGCCGATCGGTTTTCATCTCTCGCCGTGAAGAGTCAAGCAAGGTGTTGGCGCCACCTGCTGTCGGAAGGGGCTTCCTGCGTTAGGTTTTCTACCGAAGAGAAAAGGCAGGCTTCCCGCATGGCCAACGAGCAAAAAGCAACTTAACTTGTCCAATTCTTTGCCCTCCCAAATTCTAATCATGAGGTCAGCAGGAATAGTAATAATACAGAGAAAGATTTTGTTTGATGTGGGCCATCTCATTCTAAGATTTCTGCAGAATGTATTCACTCCAAATAAAACCTAGGTTCTATCCATGTCACCATCCAAATAATCCTCTTGAGAGGGAACTAGAAAGATGCACAGCAACCAAGCAGTGTGGATCAGTAAATGGGTGTCCGCTCTCTCAATAATTATTTTAAAGATGTGTGTAAGTGCAGACACACCATTTATTTATTTATTTGGTTATTTATTTCATTTCTATACCACCCAGCAGCTGAAGCTCTCTGGGTGGTTCACAACAGCAAACAATACGAAATATACCAATTAAAACATATTAGAATGTCATAAAAGTAGCCAATCCAAAATTTCAAACCAAATAAAAACCAGACAAACAAAAAGGATGCATTTAAAAGACCCTGTTAAAGCCTATCCAACAACCAGCAGGCCCCAGTAATTAATTAAATGCCCTACAGTAGAGGATGGCCTTTACTTAGTGGCCAAAAGGCAGCAAAGTTGGCACCAGGTGGGCCTCAGTGACAAAAGCATTATCATAATTGTCAGGGCCCCCCCCCCATGTTAGCATTAAAAAGTAAAAAAACAAATAGATGTATATCTAAAAAACAGAGGCGGGGGGGGGGAGGGCAGAAGCATTTAACATTGCATCCAAAAAGATTCCCAAGTCTAACCCCACATCTTCCCTAGATACATCATGGGCAAAGCAATCTTATACAAGCAAGGGCAGAAATATTCATGGCTGAAGAACCAGCTCTATTTCCAAAATCCTACTGTCCATGTACCAGCCGTGGCAGAATAAGGAAAGATGCAGATCCACCCTCCTATTATTTTTCTTATGATCTGTTGAGAATTTGCCTGCAAAAGAAGGGAAGGTCTCTATGCCAGCTCAAAAGCTGACACAGTTTCTTCTCTCTTCAAAGGGGAAAGAGCGAGCTTTGGATCGGGTGCATTAGAAATTTCCCCTGATCTGTCTCTGGGAAAGATGTAGCAATGGAAAGCTTTGTCATCACCTGAGCAAACTTCTCTCTCTGACCATGGAGGGAAAAGTGAAATATTCAGTATCTTTTGGATCCTGGGTCATGCTCTGACCATAGGATTGCAGCCCGAAACAATTGCAGTCAAATCTTCTCCTACCCTTCACTGCTCCTTCTTGGACCTCACCCAAAGAGAGACAATCTCAATGACTTTTAAATTGCTTACAATCTAAGATACACAACTCAAAGAAAGAAAATATACCTTGGACTGAGAATGTAGCAAGAAAACTGTTCAGAACTCTGCATCCAGCACACAGTATCCAGTATGGCCACATGGTGGAACTAAAGTGCTGTTCAACTTATACAAGAAAAGATTTGGTCGTACTCAGAATGTTAGTTGTGGCAACTGAATGCAAAATCTTATTTAGAAATTGTCTGGTCAAAGTCCTGAATTGGGTCTACTGTATCAGGAAAGGTTTCCTCACTGTCAGAGCAATACGACAGTGGAACCAGCTGCCTAGAGAGCTTGTGGGCTTTCCTACACTAGGGACATTAAACTAAACTAAACTAAAAAGTCATCTGAGGGGGATGGTGGAAATTGGTGTCCTACAACAGCAGGGAGTTGGACCTGATGGTCTTCTTGGCCCCTCTTGACTCTGCTATTTTATGCTTTTGTGATCTGGGCTTTGGAGACAGAGAATCTGCTTCGTCCTTAGCATGGCCTCTGCTCTTGGGGCATCACAGCTCTTCCAAACATAGCACGAACATTTGCATATGAACAAACGGCCCATTTTTCAAATTTCTCTCTTCCAAATGAAACTGCCTATAAACAAGCTTATGACAGTGGTCCTTAGGGCTGGATCTGTGTTTACTTATTAAGAGTAGATCCATAGAAATCAATGGGAATTGTTATTCATAATCCCATTGATTTCAGTAAGTTAACTCTTCCAAGTACAAATACGTATGATTTCAGACATTATGTGTCAAAGCCAATCCACATCAAATTCTGCGCATGAAGTCAGGTGCCCATGACTCTCTATGGCATCATGGCTGGGCATCAGCATGGGTGGATTAAAAACACAGCATGACATAATCATGTACAACCACTGACAGCTACACCTGCCTTCACTGTCTCACCCCGGGAGAAAGAAAATAAAAAAGGAGTGTTGTTATTTGTTGAAAGGGTTGAATTGGTGCAGCTGAACCCATATAGATGGAAGGGCAGCAATCTAATCCTCCTAGCAGTCAGTCAACACTAGCAGAAATCCTAGTGGGAATGCATAGCAAGGCTGAACACCATATAAATCCCTTGGATGAATCTTGCACGCAAGCAAAAGCTTTATTGGATCAACAGCACAAGGTGTCAACACAGCTTCCAACTGGTACCTATAAACAGGATGGTTTAGGTGTCTGATCTGGACTTTAAAACATTCCAGTCAGTTGAGAAATGGGACCACACCAGCACAGACAACCGGTTCTACAAATAGTAAAGTGGCTGGAATCTGGAAAGAAACAGGTCCAGAGCAGGAAGTGGGGTGGACTTGAACAAGGCGAGGTCCTGGCACTGAAACCATATTTGGTGATGGGAGAGACCCGATTGTCGCGCTGCGGAGGATGTGCCATGAATCATGGTTCAGTAATTCCACTGGATTGGCAACATTTGCCTTAGCAAGGGGTGGGCGACATGCTGCAGGCATGTGGTTGCTGCCACTCCCAAAATGGGTGGATTCCCTCCACGTGGCTTTTATACAGGCTACAGAGTGCCCAAAGGGTCTACATTAGCTTGTTTGCAAAGTCTAGTAGAATCTTCTTGGTTCTTGGCCTCTTTCTGGAAACCTGGAATCCTTTAG